TTTTATTTCATACTTTTATCTTTGAATTTTTATATGAGATTTGTGCAAAGTTGAATGGGATGCCATTTTGGCGCATTCGGCTAATGTTTCTACGAATCCAAAGGTCCTCGGTTCAAATCCATTTCCACTTACAGAGACCGGGCCTAAGAGGGTGGGCACATAAAAAAATTAACATATTAACCGCTCCCCAACCAGGGATAAGGGTATTTTTTAGAAACTTGTTCTTTTAAAATATAGAAAATAATTTTTATGTTTTATAATAATTTCGTCCTATATTTTAAAAACCTTTCTGTAATTTAGACAAAATCACCCATAAATCCAAATCGTAGGCGATTTTCTAAAATCAAAGGCGAATTTCAATGTTTTATAGAAAAAAAAATGTTTGAGTGTAGGATCGTTAAAGACAAAATCGACAAGGTGAAAGCAAAATATATGGGCAAGCTTCAGGACCATCCTTAATTAGGAACACCAGCAAGACACGACTCCATCGAGTGGACCTCCCCACCCACCAACAATAGTAGGGCCGTTTTTTCAAAATAATTAGTTGTAATTATCTTAATAAATAATATATAAGATTGGGATTTGCCTACACGTCGTTAGTCTCTCAAAGATAAGACTCAATTAATGAAATAACTTTAAAAAAAAAATCGTACTTGTATTATAGCAAATGTGCTTATAAGTCATAATTAAGTATTCAGTGTATATGTTTCTGCTCATTTAATGCCGTTCGGGTTAATTTGGTTGTTTTTGATGACTTTTGCGTATATTTCGTTGTCATTTGACTTACATGATGGTTTAAATCATTTTATGTATGATGATTATAGTATATAGCTTTTATGTGTATACATATTCGTGGAGTTGCACGCATCAATTTTTGGTATGACTGCAAGGGAATTAATATTTCTACTTACTGTTTTAATTTTGAGTAAGTTTTATTTATAAATTGAGTTCTCGTCAACAAGGTGAAACCCTAACCAAGCTAACAAGTTGTAAAGAACTTTTTTCAAAATTGGACCGTAATAAAACAACATGAAAATCATTAAAAACCAAAAAAAGGAAGCAAACTTCGGCAAGCCGAAGTTCATATACCATTGCAGCTATTGAAAGAATTAAATATTCTTGAAAACATTTAAATTATGATAATTTTCAACTCAATTATTCGATCGGTATGGCAGCTTTATGATATCGTTTTCCGATTTGAGTAAAATTAAAAACGTGATTCTAAACTATCAAATTATTACAAAAAAAAAAATAAAAAAAGAATTAAAAAATAGAAAAGTTCAATATTTTTTAAATTTATTTATTTATTTTTTTTAATATTCTGATTATTTTAATGGGAGCTATATGACATAGTCGTCCGATTTCGGTAAACTCGACTATATTATATGGTTTTCCGATAAGAATAAAATTGAACCCGTAATTTTAAAGTAGTAATCCATTATTATCTCTGGCAGTATATTCCTATATATATAATTTTCCAATTGCTCCTATGGGAGCTATATGATATATATATCCGATCCGGCTAGTTACGACTTATATACTTTTGGAAAAGCTTGATTTAAAACAAAGAGACTTGTTAGCGTAGATTCGGAGAGATGGAGGGAGGGACAGACAAACTTGGACAGACTCGCCTAGTGGTGCTGATAAAGAATATATATATTTAACAGGATCGAAAATTTCTCGTTCGCTGATCTTGATACTGATCTGATCTTGATCTTAAGTACGTTCCCAGGTTCACTTATTTTGTATCTTATTCTTTACCTAGGTAATAAAAATATTACGCTACATTTTACCATTCCTGGGTAAAAATATAAATCTATCTTAAGAATAATCTATGTTAGGTGCTGAAATATTTTTATTTATTTTGGCTTTCTAATTAGTTTGATCCCACTACATTAAATTTTTTTTATTAATTTCGCAAAATTCTTATACTGTATAACTTGAAATTAAGTTAATTCAACCTCAATTGCCAAAGTGATAATACATTTTTCTACAACTTAAAAAAAACCAAAAAAATCAAAATATGTGTGTTTTTTAAAACTTTTTGTACCTTTTACCTTACCTAGCTACTTGATTGTGTGTATATTTCACATTTACCCACTCTTGTGCAGAAAAATTATTTTGCAAACATTTGGTGATAAGCGACACTGAAGTGCTTAGTCGTTAATTTAAATTCCCGTTTTCACTGGGACTAATGTTAAACACGAGTTTTCTGTTGATGAGTTAATTTGTTAACTTCAAAAAGCCGACACTAGACAAACTCGAATCTTGGAAAGACTTTTGTTCTTTGTTTTGATTTATGTATCGAAAATTCAAAACTCAGGGAAATGAATAGTGAATATATGGAAGACACAACTGCAGCAGTGATAAATTCTATTATTTAATACATTTATTTTTCACGTTAGTCTCTGCTAACAACAATTTAATTGCTCGCCGCAAAAAACAATAAATGTGCCAAATCAACAGTAAACAAAATATAATTGTTTTTTTATAGCCATTTTAAAACGCAACTTTTTCGTGGGCCACCCTGTATGTACTGTAAGTGGTTGAACGTTTGACGTCTTTTTTAAAAGTTTCGTTTTTGGTTTAGAATTTGGGATCTTGACAAAATAAACCAAAAATAAAACCAATCGATCTCAATTCAAAGCCATTCGTTTAGAGCGTTTTAAAATGCTATGCCTTAAAAGTTTACTGTTACTATAATTTGTTAACAGAACGAAGACTATACATTTGTAATATCGATTAATAGATAACAGTTCGATATAATTTATAGATGCAGTAAGTTATATTTATACCCTTGCAGATGGTATTATAATTTCGCTCAGACGAACGCAGTGAAGGAGACATCTCCGACCCTATAAAGTATATATATTCTTGATCAGCATCATTAGGAATCGATCTAGCCATGTCCGTCCGTTTCTACAAATTTGTATATCGGTTTTAAAGCTATCTGCATAGAACTTTCTCAAAAGTTATTTTTCCTACCTGCAAAGTCTGAACGTGTCGGATCGGACGAAAAATGAAAAAAATGATAACTTGGCTGATTTTTAATTTTCTTTTAAGTTCTTCGATATGTACCCCGAGAAAAAAAACCGTTCTCAACAGTCTCGATTTCAGTATTTCCGTGTTCAATAGTGAACCAAGAACGGATTTACTGAAATCAAGAAGACATTTTCTTAGATCAAGACTGGTTTTTTAAGACTGAACATACTCGATTTCATAATATGTCTTCTTGGCTTCGAGAGTAAATCGTTCTCAAAATCAAAAATGATTTACTCTTGAAAACGAGAGCGCCTATTCTTGGACTCAAGAACATATTCAGTATCCAGATCTCAAAATCTGTTCGAATTTTGTTTTTTTAATTTCTTTTATTTATTTTTTCATACATTTTACGTTTCAAATTATATAGCTAAATATATTTTAATCTAATAATTTTCTTATCATTAATTAAAACATTCATATAAAGGGGAGGGGAAACGTCTCTCTGATGAAATCAAGGCACTCGAAATGGACACAGCCCCTAGAAAATAAATGGTTAAATAGTATAACAATTTGTATATTCGAATTTCAAAACTAAATTGTCTGGAAAAAACTGGTTAAAAAGATTTTAAGCGTTGTTCTGCTACAAATAAATATATATATTTAAATTTACTATTTAACACGTGCTTAAGTGAAACAAAAGATTTAACACGAGTTGTGAAATATAAATTTACCGCAAGTGATGCTGCTGCAGTCTATGTACATATGTATGTGTTTTTTTCTCTTTTGATTCTAACTCTTTTACGACTGCGACGTTGTGCGAGCATTTACAAGTGGAACAAGAATAAGAATCACACTGTGGGTCTGCCAGTTACGAGACGTACCCCACCCTTCGTCGGCTGACTCGGGAGGCCTGAGATTGGCTCCGGAGGACCGGCTCGGGAATCTGAGCGGCGATCCGGATAGACTCGGACGAGATGCCGAAGATCGACCCGGGGCTCCAAGTGGCGATCTGTACTGATCGGTGGCCACGTAGTGACTGTTGACCCGGGAAGAGAGGATGTGGGAGGAGAAAGGGAGGTTACTAACTACAATGTATTAGACCGGGTACTAGACCTGGTCCCAAAAGACTGGCTCCGCAGTGAACTCCCAGATCAGTGCTACTCAAAGGTGTACTTATCCCATCGCGTAATGCTCGCACAACGTCACAGTTGAATCATAAGAAACAAAAATATATATTTTTTTGTAGCTGAACCACGCTTCAAATTTCTTTAACCAGTTTTTATACCATTGCAGAGGGTATAATAATTTCAGTTTGCAACGCAGTGAAGGAGACATCTCCGACCCTATAAAATATATATATTCTTGATCAGCTTCACCAGACGAGTCGATCTAGCCATGTCCGTCTGTTCGTCTGTCCGTCCGTTTCTACGCAAACTAGTCTCTCAGTTTTAAAGCCATCTGCAAGAAACTTTCCCAAATGTTGTCTTTCTATTGCAGGTAGTATACAAGTCGGAACGAGACGGATCGGACGACTATATTATATAGCTCCCATAAGAACAATCGGAAAAAAAATAAAAAAAAATTATAACTTTTCTGTTTTTTAATTTTTTTTTTAGCTCTTCGACATATTGTAATAGTTAAATATTTCAGAATAACGATTTAAAATTCATTAAAATCGGACGACTATATCATATAGCTCCCATGGAAATAATAAAAATATATAAAAAATTGTTATTTTTAATGTAACTGTTTTAAAATCGGAATACGTTATCATATAGCTGCCACAGGAACTGTCGAACACTTAAGCTGCAAATCATCATAGCTTCAATAGTTTTAAGCAAATAAATCATAATTTTAATGTTTTCCAGAATATTTAGTTTTTGCAATAGCTTCAAGGGTATATGAACTTCGGCTTGCCGGAGTTCGCTTCCTTTCTTGTTTTAAAGTAAATTAAGTCAAAAATCTCTTTGTCGGTACACTAATGATTGGTTTTTCACCATTTGCTCTTTTTTGTACAGGTTGGAAGCGGCTCAGGAAGTAGTGCAAGCAGAGCATCAACAGGACTTCTTAGGCGGGGGGCACTTGGGTCGAAAGGGAGCCCATCGCTTAGCTGATAGAATGGGTGGCCCGAAAAAAGAGGAAAACCCACCAGGTGGTGGTCCGACGTCATTGTTTATTCTAACCGAGGATAACCCAATTAGAAAGTACACACGATTCATCATAGAATGGCCGCCCTTTGAATACGCTGTGTTATTGACAATCATAGCCAACTGTGTTGTGTTGGCACTAGAGGAGCACTTACCAGGGGGCGACAAGACAGTATTGGCTCAAAAATTGGTAAGACCTGGTTCAACTTGTCTGCAGATTTAATAGTTGGTATCTAAGTATCTAACCGCACTGATTTTCATTTGGCCAAACTAGGAAAAAACGGAGGCCTATTTTTTATGCATTTTCTGTGTAGAAGCGTCGCTCAAGATCCTCGCCTTAGGGCTTGTTCTGCATAAACACTCCTATCTCAGGAATATTTGGAACATCATGGATTTTTTCGTCGTAGTTACGGGGTAAATAATATACTAAAGCATTTTTTTTACATGCACATTTTATTTTGAACAATAACCTATAAAAAACACTTATGTCAACCACGCCGTGCAAGCTTTTATTTTTGTTCTTTTTAAATTATATTTACGTGTTAGTCTTGGTCATAATGAGTCAACAGATGTTACGGAAAATAATAAAATTTATTTCTATATGATTATAGATCGAAACGGAAATTAGATTAAATAATTTTAACATAATTTTAAGATACAAAATGTATTATCTATAACAAACGAGTGCCTATTACTATAGATATACATAATTTAAGTGCCAACAACATTTTTTTTTACTAGACGTATAAGCTGTCGGTTAAACAATTTAAAATTATATTATATAAATTGATCTAAGTAAAAGTATATAATAACAATTTTTCCTGTATGTCCAATGCATATAACAAATCATAACCTCATGCCAAAACAGAGCCATGACGATATTTGCTGAGGCCAATATAGACGTTGACCTGCGTATGTTGCGATCTTTTCGTGTTTTACGCCCACTGAAGCTCGTATCCCGAATTCCAAGTAAGACATTCGCCACTAAACGATCTATTAGTCGATATTAAAAAAACCTAGGCCAGATACAATGACGGTTTTTTCAGTAAATATATATATTTATATAGCATATTTCGCTCAAAACAATTCATTTGTACGATTATGTATGTATACGCTAGTTAATATATGTTATTTAAGAGTAGCACAAAATGGAGTTAGGAGAAACAACTTAGAAGTTAGGAGACACGCATTTGATTTGATGAAAGTCTATCGCAAAATCTAACTTAGAAATAGTTAGAATTTAAGTAGTAATTAATCACGGCTGCCACAGAAATCTTCAAAGGTCGAATTGGTAAAAAAATTTTGCAGACATAATTAATAACCTTTTTGATTTTTATTATACTAAATTGCATTAAATTTTAAACTTTCCTGACGTCAAACCTAAACTAGATTTCTGTAACACTCTGATGATTGGCCTTGCTTCTGTTTTTGCTTCTGGTTACTGTTGGTTTTATATAAAACGTTAAGGAGATTTGAACCCCATTCCATATAATAATCTAAAACTGTTTATTTATATAAAACATCAAAGGAGACAAAAACGGAAGCACTGTGTATAATGACTCTTGAGTCGATATTGCACTCAGTAGAATTTTTTTTTCAAAAACTAAATAAGATTTATTGTTTTAATATAGACTGCATCAGTAGGATGCAACATGTTACTTATTGATAGCTGGTGTAGTTAAAATAAAAAATTTTAAAATTGAAGGCATATTCATAAAATGCTATGATCACTAGTGGTAGCCATGGAATTAGCAAACACAACCCATGGACAAATAGAAATATCCATTTATTTAATGTTAAAATCTTACATTTAAAGAGAATCATAAATTATAATATATGTATGTAAGGAAAGTGTACATTAGTTTGACAATCTGATATATAAACATCGGCATCACTGGGTAGCCTTCTTAATAAGGCAAACAAATGACTTTCAAAACGAATCCGTGGCCTTAAGTGCATTTTGAAACACGAACTAGAAACATATATATTTATGTTATGTAGTGTTGTTAATAAGCCATATTTAATATTTATTTATTATCACTTTCAAGTACCAATAGACTAATCAAATATATACAACATGAGTTATAGGCTCTGTATTTAAATATACATAAGACCTTTAGTCTTAAGAGTAATTAATCGGGCCTATCGATTCAAGTTAAGCCCCCATTAAGGTGGTAGAAAAAAACGCATATAATAGATATTGGCAGTTTACATAGGTAAACTTTTTTTAATAGTTTACTTAGTTTATTTTCTAACCAAAGACAGTTTTAGTCAGAAATGTGTCAATAATGAATTTATTAAGATGTATGTTTTACTTGATATGGACAAAATTGTTTCTTTTGGTTCTAAGCATTTTCACCGTTCTATAGAATAAATATCAGTAAATCATATGTTATAATTAAATGGTATAATAAATACAAAACCTTTTTAAGCATACTACAGATGAACATCGTTTGAAAGGATTAACCGCTTAAACTGTCTTAGAGTTATAAAAAATATAAACAGTGTAAAACAGTATGTTATAGGCAACAGTGTGGTTTGATTTTTCATAAATACCAATTAAACCGTTATTCTAAAATAATATTTACTTTATAGCTAACAAAAACTTTAGTTTAAATTTGCTCTCAAACACAAAGCATGTATTAGCATTTCAGATTCTTGATAAAAGGGTCTCGAAAGGAGAGCAAAGATAAACTTTTCTGCGTTTTCGCTTGGGTTACCCATTGTGTGTGCGAAAAATATGAACTAACCGCGCGTTAAACGTTACTGAATTACCTTATTTCTTTACTTTACAGTATCACAGTTTTGAGTTGCTTTTTGCTTTCGAATTAAGTTTCGATTTAAGATGCACAATACATATTACCATTTTATTTATCTGTACTTGTATGATTTTGATTTTCTAATTATCATTACCTACGATAAGTTCGTCTTGCATTCATTGAGTATCGCTAATCAATATATAAATTCGTTTTGATCGCTTAACGTCTGCAAACAGATTCATGACACAGTACCCACAAATAGGGCCCGAGGTAGACCTAAGAACACTTAGAGCCATTCGTGTGCTACGGCCCTTAAAATTAGTGTCTGGAATTCCTAGTGAGTAGTTCCTCTGTTTTATTCTACTTACCCAACTTCTTGTTGTCGTTGTCGTTGTACCTTGTTCCTTGTTCCTTGTCTATATTTTTATTTTCTAACGCCTCGCTCCAGACTTTAAGTGTGTGAATGTATCATAATGCGAGAGTTTCCTTTTCATTTTCAATTTTATTTTATTTCTTTAAGTGAGTACGAGTGAGTGCAAAATGATCCATTCATTTTTGCCACCACTTAGTTTCGGTTTCGGTTGTGTTAAACGTACTCTTTTGAATGTAATGGTTGTGGCACATGGTTGTCCTAGAGCTTGGAACTGTCTGTGACAACCATGTCCTAAATGTGCACACGTCGCTGTATACTTACCTTTCTAATCCAATATCCCATTTTTTAACCAATCAACATCTAAATTTGGATCGGATGAACGTCGCCAACAGGTTTACAAGTAGTTTTAAAATCTATAATCAAGGCGATGGCACCTTTACTGCAAATCGGTCTCTTGGTGTTGTTTGCAATCGTAATTTTTGCAATCATTGGACTCGAGTTTTATTCGGGCGCACTGCATAAGACTTGTTATAGCTTAGAAGATCCAAGTATGCCCATTTCCTGGACCCATGGTACAGACCAAAGCTAATGCCTCCCTTTCGCGCAGACAAACTAGTGAAGGAGGGCGAATCGGAGACGCCTTGCAACACGGACAACTCCACGGAGAAGGCAGCCGGCTCCTTTGTATGCAACAACACCACAAGCATGTGTCTGGAGAAGTGGGACGGACCAAATTCAGGTATCACGAGTTTCGACAACATAGGATTTGCCATGTTGACCGTATTCCAATGTATCACGATGGAGGGCTGGACGTCAATACTGTATTGGGTAAGTGGCGGTTGTAGTGCAAGCTCTGGCATTGATCGCATTCAAGCTCTGATCCCCACTAACCATTCTTCTCCGCAGACCAACGACGCATTAGGTTCAGCATTTAATTGGATATATTTCGTGCCTCTTATAGTTATAGGCTCATTTTTTATGCTCAACTTAGTTCTTGGTGTCCTTAGTGGGTAAGTTGATCATGAATCGCTTTACTGTCAATGAATCCATTTATACACCGGTTCACATTACGTTCAACTTATCAGTTCGTTTACTTTCGTTAATTAAGGGATTTGAAAATACTGCATACATATGTTTAGACCACATCGATATTGAGTGTCGCGAGTTTTTTAATGGCCCACGCTGCCATATTTGTAAAGATAAACTGTAAAGAAAGTGTGTTAAGTTGGCAGATAATACATATGTACAATATATCGGTCTTACGTAGCAACGTGCATGCGCATTCAGGGTGCAAAGTAAAGTCAATTCGCTGTAAATGAATCCAAAATTTCCCTGTGAGCCAATGTGGTTGGGCAAAAACTTTCTCAAAAATATATGTATGTATGTGTTCGAAATACTATAAGCTTGATTTGCATTTTCTGTTCTGTTCATTTTCGTAATTTTGTTATATGCATTTAACTATCGTATTCCTGAATTCAGAGAGTTTTCGAACGAACGAAATCGTGTCGAACGTCGCATGGAGTTTCAGAAATGCCGCTTTCGGGCCATGTTTCAGACAGCAATGGTTTCGTACCTTGACTGGATCACACAAGCAGGTTTATACAACTAGATCTATATCTAAGTGCCACCAGTAAACTGCCATAACCAACCCGAACGTCATAACAACACTACCTGCAATATTATCGGCCAAAACAGAACAATAAGTCTACTCGTATGTTGTCGAATCCGAACGAGTTCATTGAGTTAATCTAAACACCCATCTAATAAACCAAAAGCAACCTCTGACCTATACTTACCCGATTTATAAAGAAGTTGTTTGATTTACTGCTAGTTATGTATTCTTAAATAGATCGCAAGCAATTCCCCGGCTACAAAGAGTTTTGGTACCCAAACTTACTTACTATTAACAATACAACTACTTCCAATGTACCAATTAAATATTAACTGCGACATGTTGTTTACCCCACAATATAGTTTAACCAATCGAAACAATAATCGAATCCCCATGTTCTCCAGTGCGTATTGCGTATTGCGTGTTATATTCTCTGCATTTTGCCACACACCCAACTTTACCCGATTCTTACAATTACTACCATAGAGACAAAGTTAAATTGCCCGCAGCCTCAATAAACCAATAAACCAATAACCAAATAGCTATAGCTATCTACAACTGTTAGCCATCCTATCTTACAAATACACATTCCCCGTCAGCGGAGTCGCGAGTGCTCGAGCCACTGAAATGTTGTTGAGTTTCGGCTATATACACTATACACACTATATAGCTATATGCACTCGGTTTATTATCGCCATCAATGTATCACCGATCTAGACTCAGAGACTACCAGCGAACCAGGACCAAAATTGTTGGAGTCCCGATGACGCTATTGCTATGGCCTCATCCATCTGCCCATGCGAATTATATTTATTTGTTGCCACCAAATAAATCATCATAAATGCTTGTATGCACACATATAATCTCACACACTCCCTTCTTATATATGTTTCCTTGACTTTTGACCCGATTATCGGTCGCGCTCTCCGACGCCAACAAATATATCAAAATGTATTTATGTTTCCTAATTTCTAGTCAATAATTTTTGTTTTCCGTTTGTGCCTGTTTGCTGTGTTTTAAGAAAACAGTGAAATATTCTGGTTTAAAGTCTTTGATTTTCCTTTTCTGTCTAAATTCGATTCTCTTCTGTTGATTACACTCGTACAAAACAAAAACCAAAGTATGGTGTGAACTTTGCTATTTAATACCAAAGCATACATGATCGTTTTAGCAATCAATCAATCCTGTTTTTTGGTTTATCACGTTCTATTTAATTATTTTTTGTAGTGAATTCGCAAAAGAACGAGAAAAAGTAGAAAATAGACAAGAGTTTCTTAAACTTAGAAGGCAGCAGCAACTAGAAAGAGAGTTAAACGGCTATGTTGAATGGATTTGTAAAGCTGGTATAGTATTTACCCCTACTTCTTGTTTGTAAATCTATATATACACTCACCCTGATTATAATCATGTTAAAAATCATTTTTACACAAATATGCAAACACAAACACTTTTTACCACTATTCATCCCATATTCATCCCCAGATATCTGTAAACTTTTTTAAACGAGATGAGTCAGCTATTGTCTGAACTTTTCTCAGATGGTTTAATACAGATTTCCGATATTTCATGTCAAAATATACTTTTCAAGAAGAAATTTCCTCTTCTATATAAAAATCTTGTCGATGGGTAATAGTTCAAACAAATTTATTTATACATTTTAAACTTGCAAGGGTAAAAAACACCCTTTTTTAAATTTATTGATACAGGCACTTTGTTGCACAAAAACTTAATATTCGTTTAAGTATATTTTTCTAAATTCAGTGTGTCCGATTCGATTACGGACACGAAAATGGATCACGACGACAAAAAATTAAGGTTAAAAAATATCGTTTTGATTATTTTGGAAAGAAATACCACTGAATATTTAAATAATTCAGTACAAACAATTTAATTGTTTTTATGCATACGTAGTGAAACATTTTCGTGAACAGATTTTGAGTCAGCAACCAGAAGTCTTTTATAGAATTCAAACTTTGGTGTCCATATTGCAACAGTCAAAATTCATAAATTTACGGAGTTTAAATAAGTTGAAACTTCTTCTTCAATTTCATCCTATCGCTAAGAGGTACATAACCTGGATATTGCTAATATTTTTGGAGACTTGCATATTTAATAATATATATATATAAATGTATCCATATTTATAAAATAACAACAAAAAAAAAACACGTACATGTTGTTAAGAAATTTTTAAATAGCCAGCACTTTTGGCACATTCTTAGCTTCCCTTTCCTCATAGAATCCAGCCCTTAAATCTCTACATTGCCAAATTGAAAGTAAATAAATTCCTGAACATATTTTAAGATACAATAGTTCTCGTGATATATGGACACAGATCCTTCATACTTCCCCACTATATAAACAATTACCCACATAATTTTTTTTGTGCATATATACACCTTCTGCTTATCTGTTGATCAAATCGATTTGCTTGTTGTGAACAACTACCAATCACTGGATTTTAATGTTGTTGCAGAGGAGGTAATATTAGCTGAGGAGCGAACAACGGAAGAAGAAAAAATGCACATAATGGAGGGTAAGTTATCTCAAACGGTGAACAAGTATGTATATCACAGTCCCTGAATTTATTAACATTTTTTTATAGCTCGTAGACGAAACGCTGCCAAGCGGAAAAAACTGAAAAGCTTGGGAAAGTCGAAGTCGACAGACACAGAGGAGGAAGAAGCCGAGGAAGATTATGGCGACGATGGTAAGAAAGATATTTAAAATAGTATTTTATAAACGGGGTCGTGTATGGAAAGCAGCATACTATGAGTTCTTTCTGAAAACAGGCAACGACACCAAAGACTTTTGGTTCGTAAGATTCAAGGATGATTAAGGGGTAAAACAAAAAAAAACCACTATTAACAAATGCTCGAAAGAACAATGTTAATATTCGGTTTTATTCCAAAGTACACACCAATACTTGAATGCTGCCAATTTAGTTGCACCTCGTTAAGTACGAAAAAATAAGCGGATACACTAAAATAACATGGATATATAAAATGGCGATATGGAATTAATTCAATTTTTTATTTCTATACCTAAACTTACTACAACAAAACGAAATTGTAAATCTTACATTGTGTAATGAATGTGTAAGTAAATGAATTTTTATTTTTTCACGAAGTGAAAAATCTGCACCGGCGTCAGATAGTATTAAGATTAGTTTTAAATTCGTAAACTAAATAAATATAAATTAATAGCTTCATATTTCTCATCGTTCAGCAAATACCTAAATTTGTGTAAATTTTTCACTTGTGTGTATATAAGAAAGTAGTTGGCATTAGATGCACTTTCTTAAAACTATTTTCTCCGAACCAATTTTACTTTTTCATGATATTTGGGTATTCTTGAGTAAAAGTCCAATTCAAACAAATTTTCCAACATCGTAAATGCGAACTTTTAGCAATACTCATAACTTTAAGTTGTTGAAAATACATTTTTATGGTACTAAATGAAAAAGTACAAATGGTTTGTGGAAATTTCAAAATGTTCGATTTTGTGTTTCTGTGATAAATAAATCGTATGCTATCTTATTATTAAATTCAAATTTTTATCATCAGTAAGCTCTTGTTTCAATTTTCTCGGAGCTTGGAAAGAGTTTGACTTTTCTTTATTTGTATTTAAGCAAAACGAACAGTATTTTTCTTTAAAAAATTTCAATGTCTCTTGTAAAGATAATCTTTGATATACACTCAATATTAAACTTACTGTTAGTAAAGAATACAAAGCTATGATGAGCGAAATTTGAACGTTTCGAAAAAAAGCACCTAGCTAGAAACTTTTAGGACAGTATTTGACTTTAGCAAGCTGAGAATCGTCTTTTTAGAGATATTTCCCACCCAAACTATCAAATCCGCAACATGTAACTTCGTTTGTAAAACAAATAGTTTTCCATACTCTTTATTGCTAAGATCAATAACTTCATACCTATTTTGCATTATATTTGAATACATCTATGTTTACCAACAGTGCTTTTCAAAACAAAATAAGACAAGGAAATTATTTACAAAAATTAATCCAGTGGAAGAGCTGTCAATCTCAGGCCTGATCGATTGAAGAGGGGAATTTCCATTCAGCATGAATCATTTGTTTAGTTTTTTTTGCATCATGTACCATGTTCTTCGATATCTTAAGTACTTTGCGAGATAAATGAGGTAGGGTAAACAATCTATTTGATTTAATTCGCTTTTCTTCGATTGAAAAACCTAATAAAAATAAGATGAGGGTTTTTAAAATCTATGTTATTTAACAAAAGAAAAAAAAAAAGAATATCGATGAAAATTGTATTGTATTTATTTCAAGAATCTTTTTGAGTTTTTAAACTTGCCTTACCTAACAAAGCTTGGTTGGCGGTTACTTTAAGTATGAATGAATTTAAATCGCAAACATTTTTGTATTGTATTCAAAATAATTTTTGTAAAGTAAGCGTTTTTGAGAAATCTGAATGGGAATCCCCCTCATAGTGCTACTGGGAATTGTTTGACATTGTTTGGAAATGCACTGCACACATATTTGAGCAGTGTACACAACATATGCCCGGTTGTACTGTAGGTGGAGATATTTCTACCCGCACAACTACCCGATCAAAGGACACTTATCAAAGTTCCTGTTTCTCTGTGTTCCTTCCTAGGTTACCTGAAAACTCGCTCAAAACCTCAAGGAAGTTGTACCGGCTTTTGGCGGGCAGAGAAGCGGTTTCGGTTCTGGATCCGACACACGGTGAAGACGCAGTGGTTCTACTGGTTCGTGATTGTCCTTGTCTTTCTGAACACAGTCTGCGTGGCCGTCGAGCACTACGGTCAGCCCTCGTTCCTCACGGAGTTTCTGTGTAAGTACATCCATCACATCGCAATCTGTCTTTTAGTGATATAATCCGTGTGGTGTCCTTGCAGACTACGCAGAGTTCATCTTCCTGGGACTCTTCATGTCGGAGATGTTCATAAAGATGTATGCGTTGGGGCCACGCATCTACTTTGAGTCGTCGTTCAACCGATTTGATTGCGTTGTCATTAGTGGTTCGATATTCGAAGTGATCTGGTCAGAGGTCAAAGGCGGTTCGTTCGGTCTGTCCGTGCTGCGTGCCCTGCGCTTGCTGCGCATCTTCAAAGTCACCAAGTACTGGTCCTCGCTGCGCAATCTAGTCATCTCTCTGTTGAACTCCATGAGATCCATCATCTCACTGTTGTTCCTGCTCTTCTTGTTCATCCTCATCTTCGCTTTGCTTGGCATGCAGCTATTCGGCGGCCAGTTCAATCTGCCAGGAGGCACGCCCGAAACCAATTTTAACACTTTCCCGATAGCACTGTTGACCGTATTCCAAATCCTCACTGGCGAGGATTGGAACGAGGTCATGTACCAGGGCATCATTTCTCAGGGCGGTGCACAGAAAGGAATGATTTACTCTATGTAAGTTTGTGTTTGTAATACGTATCATTCCATTGTTGTGTCTATCATGTGCATAGTATGCCAGTCTAGATCTAGACGTACAAGTAAACGTAGTACACGCCCCGCTAACTAAGTCCCCGACTTTCGCCGTGCAATGGGTATACTCTATTTTTAGTCTTGGCCAGCTCTCTAAAACAAACTCGTTAGGATTATGAATCCATTTACCGTCCTCTAACCCCAAAACTACTATTACTGCCAAGCGAATTCGCAACTCATTGAACGTCGAACCATTAATGTGTGCAATCGACCACAGCCAAATTTGATCTCAATTTGGTTGAATTGGACTTCCGAGCTTGAAGAATTTTACTCTCAAAAATTCTACAAGCCCAAGTCCCGAGAAACAGAAACAGAAACACAAGCAACCCACTAACTATCATTCATCGTGAATTCCCAATAATCCGTAAGTGTAGACACATGGTCTTTGCAAGTTATTGTGTACACTCAATTAAACGCTATACCTTTGTTTATTTCCGATCATCTCTCTTTGCAGCAACTCAACAGACTTTTGTACACCTTACGAAGCGTGACCGAGTTTCGCACACCTAACGTAGTTGTCTCAGTTTGCAAACAGTCCACTGTGCAGTACAAATAACTCCCCATTTCGTTTTAAATATTCCCCAGCCCCAGACCAAGCCCAAGCCCCAGCCCCAGCACAAGTCGACGCATATTTTGAGTTTTATGTCATCGAGGAGGTTCCTCTCCTGAGCTAATGCGCTAAAATTGACTATACAAGTTGAGTTAAAACTCTGATTGTTTTTTGTGTTCTTGATGCTCTTTCGACAGATACTTTATCGTTTTGGTACTCTTCGGAAATTACACGCTATTGAATGTTTTCTTGGCTATCGCCGTTGATAATTTGGCGAATGCCCAAGAACTTACAGCAGCCGAAGAGGAACAAGTCGAAGAGGATAAAGAGAAACAACTGCAGGAGCTCGAGAAGGAGATGGAGGCCCTCCAAGCCGACGGTGTTCATGTGGAGAATGGAGACGGTGCCGTTGCCCCCAGCAAGGCCAAGGGCAAGAAGAAGGAGGAGGAGAAGAAGGAGGAGGAGGAAGTGACGGAGGGTCCCAAGCCAATGTTGCCCTACTCTTCGATGTTCATACTTTCACCAACAAATCCGTAAATATTCCCTTATTCAATCCCCATTCCCCGATCTCTTTGTCATGGGTCATTCTCGTTCTCGTAGTAGCAATCAGTTAGGGCTCATCGTAGCGTTAAGATAATCGAGTCTCTTCCAGAACCCTATCCCGACGGCTAGGAGAAGTACACCCGGGATACTCTTATGCCATTATATTATGAAGGCACCATCATAATTTTGTAGTTATGATCCAGTCTCGAGTGACCGGTGCCGAGGTGACCGATCCAAGGTTATAAACAGTTTTTACGGGTCTTATAGAAAATGTTTTACCCTTTTTGTACAGAATCCTATCCTATCCTAGTAATATCGTTCATAGCCAATGACATAACATAATATCTGATGAACTACAATAACAGTAGTACAATTTAATCGATAACTGATACAATACTTTTTTCTTTTTACCTTTTTTCCTGTTTTGGATTACAATCTTATGTTGCACACAACCAAACAAATTAATGAACCACTTGATCTATTGAACGAAATAACTTGTGTTTGTAAATATATTAAACCGCAATATCCGACAACAACTATTACAATCATCAACCATCAACCACCACCACAAATCCATCATGAAAAACTGCAATAATTATGTTGAAAAATCATCGCCATCGACACTCATTCAACAAAAAACGAAATGATTTACAACAACAACTCATTATATACAACGAACATCAACGAACTTATTAAACAACAAAAATTAAACCACAAATTAAATCAAAAACCTGACAAATTAAATGCGAACTGGAACGACGACAAAATGAAATCCATCAACAAATTCAATAAAATGAACGGGTGCCAAAACAAAAATGCAAACAAAATGCAATGCGCAAAATACAATCACAATCGTAACCTATTATGGAAACCTCAATGAAAATTTTAAAATTTTTAACTGAATTTCAACCAAAAACGAAAATAACCATTAAATAAAAACTAAACTGCTACCGAATTGGACGCAATCCCGAATGCAAAAATATGATCATGATCCTAATTGATTACATGTCTCAACCAATATATGAATCGAAACCAATTACCAATTACTAATACCTACTATATATTCGCTGTCCGATGAATTCGATAAACGCACGACTTATACAGCATACGACGCGGCGCCCATTGGGTTGTTAATTTACCATATTTTGATTTCTTCATTATGGTTGTCATCTCAATGTCATCAATAGCATTAGCAGCCGAAGACCCCGTTCGTGAGAACTCAAGGCGAAACAAGATACTGAATTATTTCGATTATGCATTTACCGGCGTATTCACGATAGAAATGTTGCTGAAAATTGTAGACTTGGGTGTTATCCTGCACCCTGGCAGCTATTTAAGAGAATTCTGGAATATTATGGATGCTGTGGTCGTTATATGCGCTGCTGTTAGTTTCGGTTTCGATATGAGCGGTAGCAGCGCTGGACAAAATTTATCGACTATTAAATCGCTTCGGGTATTGCGTGTTCTACGCCCATTGAAGACCATTAAGCGGGTTCCAAAATTGAAAGCCGTGTTCGATTGCGTCGTGAACTCATTGAAAAATGTTGTTAACATTCTAATCGTGTACATATTGTTTCAATTTATATTTTCTGTTATTGGAGTACAATTGTTCAATGGAAAATTTTTTTATTGTACGGACGAAAGTAAACATACTTCCGCAGAGTGCCAGTAAGTAACATTTATATTTAATTCAAGTTTAAAATTGTTCGTTCGCTTTTATAAGTTTTTCGTAATCTTATTCTTGATCTTAATTAGACCTAATTTTTCTAATGTTGTGTCATTTTGTTTTTTGGATCATTTTGCAATAGGACTTGGCTAATATGCCATACAATTATTGTCCTTCTGTAGTAACCGCTTTTGAGTTCTTTAATTTATCATCTCATCATTTAATCCTCTTTACTCGTATAGTCGCGTTACACTGTAGCGCTCTAGCTTTCCCTCTCTCCCTCAAACACGCTCTCTAAGACTATCTCTCTCTTTGTCTTTCTTGTTAATATTGTGTGTTTCTTTGTCGAGTAACATAAATAAATAAATACTGAAAATGTTCTAAAATATATGTACATTACTTAGAAATTAGGATCGGAAGGAACAAACACATTTCACTCCCTCCTACATGTACAATGTTCAAGATTATATCTCTGAAAGTCCGCTGTCTCTCTTATTATTTTACAACTGATTAATCGTGCAATGTTTTACAAAATTATTTAACATATTGTAGAAAAGTAAAAAAAACTCAGGATACTCCAATGTTTGTTTTTTTCTCTGTACCATTTTGTATAGTGGGGGCCGGATTCAGATGTTTTCAAAAACTGAAAAGAAATTTTTTTTTTGCAAAAAAAAGGATTCTTCAAAAAGTAATTTTTGGTTCATATAAAGCTCTATGTTTTCTTTCCCCACTTCCACGTTTCACAATGCGAAACATTCACAGACATTCTTAGTGTTTTTCAAAAGAAAGTTTCAAATTCTCCTAATAATTCTGCCTGTGATATTTTTTTTCGTAAATTGGGTTCTTAGATTATTGGCAAAATGATTTTTTTTTCTCTCGATGTAGCTTAATTTTACAAAGTATTGTTTATGCTAGGAAAAAATTACACAACTAACTATTTAGGGTATTGGAAGGAAGCAATATTGTTATGCTGACCTGACAGCTGTAAATATAAGGGTTGCTTCGCGTACACAACACTTCAATACCTCTCAAACATTATTGTCTAGCTGTAAAGTTTTGATTTTGGACTGCCTAGCTGTGCATATCCGAAGTAGTAGGGAATGCCTTTGACCTTTATGAGGGTTTGGTTTTGCTTCTGTCAACCAGTAAAATGTGCTAAATGTTAGATTTCGAATAGAGAAAGCAGGATGAGACTTGTGTTAGACGCTCCCTACCTTAGTGTATATATATACGAATATAAATGTGCATACGTGTATACATTTGAAGTGGTCCTAATAGAGAGCATTTAGGATATAAATTTCCAGTCCCATCCCTGATTTGTATGTGTGTTGTACGATTGTTTCGTTTACCTAACTGTTATTATTATACTTATGTTTGTTCTATTTTCCATATTTGTTTTCATGAAACCAAAAAAGGTGCACTGATTTAACAGAATGTAAGAGTAGCATTTTATAGTTTCTCGCCATGTTTTTCTTGCCTGACTTGTCTAATTAACAGTCACGCGACTAAACGGGCCAAAAACAACACAAAACAAAAAGAAAAAAACAATTGCTAAACATAAACAAAAATTTAAAACAAAATCGAATCAAAAGTGACTGATATAAAGCATATAAAATATAGAGCAAATGCGTTCGAATCAACATCAATGATATAGAAGTGCAAACGTACAGTTTCTAGTTACCAGACCTTAACAGTTACGCCTAATTTTCTATAATTATTTTATATATATACCAAATCAGTTAAGCCGTTTCAGTGTATGTTTGTATATGTTGTCTTCACTAATCAAAGCTCGGGAATCACTAATGAAAATAGCGAGAGTCTTCGCGATTTGCCTGTGTACTTAAACCATAATTATCTGTATTTAAATGTTTCATTTATTTGCAATTGGGTATTCTCCAAATACCAAAGAGTCCATATTACTACCAGAAGATTTCTTAATAAGCACGCGCATAGCAGTCACGGACCGATTTAGAATAGAAAACTAGAAAAAAGAGTTTCATCAAACAACTCAGCTAAAATTTTACATAGATAAAGACCCAATTAATTAGAGAAGAGCAACAGTATGGTTTAAACTTCAGTTCTGGTTCTAGGTTCTGAATTTGTTAAATTTTTTTAATCCAAGTAGTAAGTGTATCCTGATATTTAGACATCACCCATACATACACGCCATAATTTGTATGTTTAAGTATAAATTTATATATCTTTCTAACAAAAACGAACCAGTTTTTTTACTCTGCCAATAGTGGTGTCGTAGGAATCGTAAACATTTTTTTGGTAGACTGTATCCAACTAGATGACGAGCGCTCTTTCCCAAGTTATGTGTGTATAGAGAGTATCATTATGTATTATATTATTAACACCGCGTATCTTATACTCGACGCTGTTGAGAAGTGAAAACAAACCCCGATACTTGCGTTGCTCCCAAAGGACGTTCAACGATAAAAGCCATAGAGTATCGGGTTGTTTTAGCTGTTTGGCTTCGTATGCAATAACTGTGGCCGACCGCTCTGCCTAATTGAAAACCAAATCAAATCCAATTAATTTTATTTAAAACCCAAATACATATGTACACGTGCATCCCACCGCCCACTAGCATATACACTCATGCCCTTACGCATTACCCCGTCGCCAGTGATGGAAATTTCTTTTTGTGTACCTCGGCTTGGTTAAAAATACGTATCATAGCCGAGTTTTGGACTGGTCCAGATCGTTTTTATAGCCGGTTTATAACTAATTCTATCGTCTTACGGGGTTACTAAAAAAAAAGCTTGGCTTATTTTTTTTTATGTTTTTAAATTTAAATCTATATATGAATTGTCAATTACAAGATGGATGGAAATTTCTCGAATAACTTATCTCGGTTTAAGCAAACTGTGAATCGTGGTCTGCTCATTTCCAAAAAAAAAACTTAAAGCGTACCTTTCAACCGGATACAATATGGTAGCTTTTCATCCTTCCTAAGATAAGACCTCTCACATTTGAGCGCAGCTGCTTTGTTACACATCACCGAACTGACAACGGGCCCTACCACGGAACCCCAGTAAGAAATAGGTCTATTTTTGATCCACAGCTCCACACCGATCAACAGTCTTCTCCATTCATGCATCCCACTGGTAATGGACTTAGTATATATTTTTTTTTTTTTGTAATTTTCGAACATTTCTTTATTTGTACGCCTTCCTATTCAGACCGTACCGAGTGTTGATTTGGCTTGAGCTGATCTCGGTCGTAGCGAGAATCCTATTCCAAGTCAAATTGCCCGCTTGGACAAGGTCAATGCAGTATGTAGATGGGACAGGGACAGCAGTCGCTTCTTTCACAACTGACATACCATCCACCTACCAAAGAACAAAGACACACCGACTTGCTTATATAGCAATGTAATGGTTTAATTTTATTAATGCTGTACTGTCGTACTGTCGCTTTTATTTGTTAGCTTTCGATTTCCACATATATTTCACATTAAAATCATTTCACCATTTCATTAAAATTTCAAAAGCTACAAAAACAAAATAAATTACGGTAATACGTATTTCGATCCCTAATTGATGTTCGGTTCAGTTTTAGATGCTTGCAAACTTTAGTTTTGGTTCACTGCCTTTTTTCGTTTGACTTAGTGTTTTAAGCGCAAACTTAATTTTGGTATTTTCTCTAACGAGTCTCAATCAAATTACTAATAAATCCACAAATAACTAAATCACACCAACGACTAACACCATCCAAAAACAAAAAAACATGAAATCCCAAATAAACCAAATGCGAAACCTAATCAAACGCAACCGAAGGGGCTCGTACTTTAAGTACGAGGAGGACGAGCTGCTGCCCAAACAGGAGCTGAGGGTTTGGAAGCCACGAGCCTTCCACTACGATAATGTAGCTGCCGCGATGCTGACACTTTTCGCTGTGCAGACCGGCGAGGGATGGCCACAGTAAGCCCATTTGTTGTTGTAACTGATATTTCCCCTTACTATATATCCATATCTGCATCTGTATCTGTATCTGTATCTGTCTATCGATCTGTGTACTGATCTGTCAAATGAAAAAGAAAATGCCAGACATATCTAACGTATATATTTTGCCTCTTTTTCTCCTCAAACTTACAATCTGCACCTTGAATGTCCATCCACACCTCATCGATTCAACTGCGAATAGGGTCTTGCAACACTCAATGGCTGCCACTTATGAAGATAGGGGTCCAATCCAAAATTTCCGGATCGAAATGTCCATATTTTATATTGTGTATTTTATTGTATTTCCGTTCTTCTTCGTCAACATATTCGTGGCCTTGATTATTATTACGTTTCAAGAGCAAGGTGAAGCTGAGTTACAAGATGGCGAAATTGACAAAAATCAGGTGAGCCAGACCCATCCGTCCTGTAAACCTATGTGAGTCCAAATCTCCACCTTTCTCAGTCTCTCTCTCTGCTTATAAATATGTGTGTTTGTGTAATGTACCGCTAGTCGTAAATGTAAACCCGAAAAAAACCAAAAAGTTAAAGTTAAAGTTAACTATTAATAAATTGATTAATTTGCACGTACATTTCACTAACTCGTACAACCCGCTACCTACCTAACAACTACCTACTACAGAAAACTTTCCAAAAAATCAACGAACTCCACACAGTGGGCGCAGCTCACGCAACCAGTACACACTGTACACTCAGCAAAATACTCGTACATAGAATTTTTCCAAGATCGTAAATCCTAGCCTAGCTCCATATGTACTCGTAAGTGCGAATTGTTTGCCTTGCTTTCTCGCCTTTCGCTGTGGATACCCTCTGTGTCACCCCACTTTAGCCCACACCACACAAACACTCTCCAGTTGCATATAAACATATATGTGAGTTTTGCGTATAGAACCGCCCTTAGCTACCTGTGTATATTAGTGGGCATCGAAGCATTTTCAGTCCCCATAAATGGTAATCGGTGGCTATCCTGACCCAGACCATATAGACATATTTGCTTAGAAGCCTCGATTAGTAGTGATTTTTTGATATAAATAGTGAACATTTACCGGAAAATAGAGATATGTCATTTCACTCACGATAGTCCTTAAATATTCCCTACTAGTTCTGGAATATTTAATGATTTGATCGTAAAGTCAGTTGCCACAGTTGTTTAAGCGCGTTGTCCATCATTTCCTAACCCGCGAACAAAGACGATTGTAAGTATGCATTCTTCAACATCCGCCAGTAGAGGATACCACCCAGTCGTAAGAAGTGTGTTTCATTCATTTTGGTTACAAACGAACTCCAACTTTAACATTTTAGCTTGGACCTGAGGTTAGAGCACCAAGTGTAAAATGACATAGTTTTGACCTTCCAAGTGCAAACCCCATACAAACACTCCCTTTAGAAAAATCCCGAGAATAAACTGTAAATTTAAAAACGGGCATGTGTTAATTTAATGTATTCGCCATTAATTAAGGGGGTAGTACTTTTTGTTTTGCTTAAATTCAAATTGCATACGCCTTATCCTAATTTGGGTTGATCTGTCGAAACTGGAATACATTTTTACTTTATTAACAATGTAGTTAAAACCGATGTGTTCATTTTTAATGTGTGTATATAGAATTATGAACTCATTCGTAATGCCAAATTGTTTTTATAAATTAAATACTTTACAAATTAGACATTAACACAACTTAGTTAGTTATACTTTGGAAAAAATGTGTTGTGTATAAAGTTAGCCACGAACGCCAATTCAAAGAACATCCAAAACCAATTAAATCATTACATTTCTCTTCACTCTAGAAATCCTGCATCGATTTTACTATAGGAGCACGCCCACTTGAACGCTATATGCCCAAGAACCGGAACACTTTTAAGTACAAAGTGTGGCGAATTGTGGTGTCAACGCCTTTCGAGTATTTCATTATGATGTTGATCGTATTCAATACTCTTTTGCTGATGATGAAGGTAAGTTTTAATATATTTAAGAACTTCTTTTTTAGTTATACATTTTGATTTGTGTCCCTTACTTGTATTGTATTCGTGTAACGTATGTTACAGAGTAACAGAATAAATGTGTTTATGTTAGCTTTGACTAGAAAGTAATAAAACGGTGCTTTTATTAATATTGTTTTTATACCCTTGCAGAGGTACTAAAATTTCAGTCAGAAGCTTGCAACGCAGTAAAGGAGACGTTTCCGACCCTATAAAGTATATATACACTAGAAGAGTCGATGTCCGTCCGTCTGTCCGTCCGTTTTTACGCAAACTGGTCTCTCATCTGCATGAAACTTTCCCAAAAGTTGTCTTTCTATTGCAGGTAGTACATAAGTCCGGACTATAGCATAAAGCTCCCATATGAACAATCGGAACAATATATAAAAAAAATAAAAATGTTCTGTTTTTTAAATTTTTTTTATACTAATTCGACATTGGTAATGCTTAAATATTTCAGAATTATGGTTTAAATTTCATCAAATTCGGACACCTATATCATAAAGCTCCCACGGAAACAATAAAAATATGAAAAAAAAGGTTTTTTAAATGTAACTTTTCTGTTTTGCAATTTTTTTAAAAATTCTTTTTAATTTATTAATATTTTGACAGTTCAGAATTACGCTTTTAATTCTATTAAAATCGGAAAACGATATCGTATAGCTGTCATAGGAACTATCGAATAATTGAGCTGCAAATCATCATTTTAAACATATACGCAAGTAAGTCATAATATTAATATTTTCAAGAATATTTAATTTTTGAAATAGCTGCAAGGGTATATGAACTTCGGCTTGCCGAAGTTTTCTTCCTCTCCGTTTTTTTTTCAAATAGTTTGTATAAAGGGAATTCTCGAATAGGCCTCTTTACTCAATAAAAAATAGAAACAATGTGCCCCCTTCCGTAACTTCAATTTCTGTAGATTTATCGGCATCTATTTTGTCCAAAACTATGGATCCATCTCCGGAATATAAGTATACAAATTGTATCTTAAATCTTAAATCTTAACAGTATCATAATCAAGGAGACATGTATGAAAAGTCACTGAAGTACATTAACATGGGATTCACTGGAATGTTTAGTGTAGAAACTGTCCTGAAAATCATTGGATTCGGTGTCAAGGTGAGTAGCTGTGTCTATAAAGGTGAAACCTAAGAGAGTGGTTTGCCTTATTTTAATTTGCGTACAGGATCACGTTAAACTTTTTTTCATATTCATATTTGCAATGGTTATACTTGAGCCTTCGGTCTCGTGCTTAAAAAAATACTTTCCTTTCCAATGATAAACTAACCTAATCGAAAAAGGTACATTTATTCAGGTATATTTCAAATAGTTTTACAATGTGTTCAATATAATTAACTACGCCATCTTTAAAAAGGTTCTTTAGAAATGTACATTTAAATGGAATGAAATGGTATTATTCTGATTAATTAAAAACGAAATTAATTGAAATTGATTTTATTACTGCTTAGGCTAATGAATTTGAAATCATAAAAGATTTGCCTTTTTTTGAAGATTACTCAAATTTGTATTTTGATATTAAGCATTAACTATTCTTGCTCCACTCCACATTAAAATATAATTTATTTAAATCAAGTATACCAGGATACCTGCGAATGGTTTAATTTTAATTATGTTTTTGAAACTGGCTATTAGCCAAGAATATAACATTTATTTGTAAGCTTAAATAATGTGGTTTTGTTTGGTTGCGTTGTAGAATTTCTTCAAGGACCCCTGGAACATATTCGATTTAATCACCGTTCTGGGCAGCATTGTGGATGCACTGTGGATGGAATTTGGGGTAATTATCAGTTGCTTTTCACAACACGACTCAGAGCATACATATTATTGTTGTGTTCGATTTCTGTGCCGTTATGCAAGACAAAACAATGTAATCCTAAACTAAAAACCAATGTATCTAGCTTCATTTTTTGCCAAGATACAAATATACACCTAATCTTTGACACACCTACACATTTACCAAAACACGCAATTAAGAAAGAAGAAAATATGTAATACGTCTCTATATAATTATCTATGCAGATTTGATGCGTACGGCCATATGTGTCTCAATTATACTTTTAAGTCTATATTGTTTCATAACCAACGCTAGGTACATTAACATGGATGTTCTTTCGCTGAAAATATATATCTGAAAATATTGAGGGAACCAGCTAAACCGACGATGAGGAATACAGTTAATGTATTTGAATTAGTCGCGGTGCAAGAGACAAAAGTTGTAGGATTTCGCACTTAAAAACTTGTCCAACGATATGATTAACGAAAGGGCTCTAGCCGATATGCCGAATTGGCGTTAGTTGCAAACTGTTAACGAAGAATATCTAATACACTTAGTTGCGGGGCTCAACCGCTTAGGCTTAAGATATATTTTAATCCAGCGCAACAGTCAGGATTTGGCACTATGCACAGATGGCAAGGACAGTACAGTTACACCCACTGTTATAACATGTTATTTTTATCGTTTTACATTCGAACACCTATACCTAAATTTGTACATTAATTTGTTTATTATATATAAAAGCCCAAACACACAAACAGAATATCCAAATCAAACAGAAACGAAACAAAACATCACAAATTACCAAAATTAATAATCATATTTCTTTTTTGATTTCCTTTTCCATATTTATTTATGTACGAAAACCAAAACCAAATGTGGTTTCAAAATCGGGAAAACCCAATCCGAATCAATCCAAAAATATGTTTCGATGAATGCAAATAAAAAAATAAATTACATAAAATATATAATAATCACTCACGCAATGATATATATCTACACAATAATGACAACAAACTGAAACCCACGCACACATCTAAACAAATGTGTAATTTCTTATAACTCACGCAAATCTCCACATCTATACACTGGTGTAAAATTATTCTATATATAATATTATTATATATGCGAACGCAACGATTTACATGTACATTGCAATTGGCCACATCGGGAATGAATTGAAACGAATTCAAACAACGTTCAAACAATAAAAACTTAAACACAAACAACAACAACAACAACCAAAAACTATACCATCTATGTAATTACAAATACAAAATGCAATGAATGTGCAACAAACTCTATATGTCTCTCTCGATCACCACCAACCACCAACCACTACCACTGATCCACTGATCCACTACTGATCCACCGATCCACCGATCCACCGATCCACTGATCCACTACCACAATCACCATGCCACCATTTCACCACCGAATTTGTATATGAAAAAAAATATATAAACTCACTGAACCAATCAAATTTAAACGATTATATGCAAAATGTCAACTTGATACCGACCAAAAACCAAAATCAAATCAAATCAAATCGAATCGAATCGAATCAACCTAAAATGGAATCCCAACCAAATCAATCAACAAATCAACCAAATCAAATTAAACAATCAATCGATCAACAATTTCGATGAAACTAATCTATCATCTCGACAATCCCATGCATGTGTATGTGTATGTCCTGCTACTGTGTCTGTAATCGTACCGCGTGCACGCACATATACACATGCATTCGCATCCATACACGTGCACACACACAAATGTGGCACGTGCCCGTGTATGTGTGGACGTGGTCCTTCATCTACAACTACATCGACTACAACATGTACAACCAAACGACACAACCAGCAGCACGATGTAAGTACGAAACACAATCTACACTGATTTTGCATTTATCCAAAAAGTTTTGATGTGTACCAATCAATGAACTTAGATTCCGCTTAACTGCTAAGTAAATGGCCTTCCACTAAAAAAGCTTATTAATTACGATCCTCTATCTTTCCTCTTTCATTTTGTTCTCCTAAAACAGACTTAGTTTCATTTATTTGTTGTCGACAGCAAAGCGTCATATTTGCAAAAATATATCTATATTTATACCTTACTTACTCACTTCGAATAGCCATTTCTTCGTTCGACAATGTATACTTATTTATCTTATTTATCTTAGTTCACCCATCTTCCTTAAATTTCGTACTCTTATTTCATTTTTCGATTTGGCAATCAGTTTTCTGTTGCATAGCACACTACCCTGCGATTTGTACTTGCTACTGTGTCTCTCTGTCTGTCTCTATATCTACGTATCTATATTTGGTTACCTTTACTGTCTTTCTGTGTCTCTTGTATAAAGTTGCGTGTAAAAGCTTATAGTCCAGCATAAGCTTATAGTGGAATGTACAGCAAGGGATGGGCGGAAATACTTTGACATGTGTATTGAACAGGAGATTATAGACCAATTTTAACTCCTTCCGATTTCGGACTTCCAACAACACCGTAAAATCATTGAATTTATTACTAGTCTTCAGTGGCCATACAATTAATATTGTAAGCGAAATATAGCAATCGTGTTTTATAAGTAATTATTGTATTTAAAGTGACTTCGTTGCTTGAACTATTTTAAAGATCCTATTGTTGCTCATAAAAATTCATAGCGGTTCGACCAGAATTTTCGAAGTTTTTTTTGTACTTCTATTATTGCACAAGGCGTTGCATGCCCCTGCATATGTGCCTAAATTCTAACGAATTGTCATATACATATTTATTTTTTTGGTAATAAATATTTAAAGCTTATATTAGACCATTGCTGGAATGGCCAAAACATTAATGATTAAGCCTTAAAGATCTTGCATATCTTACCCCTTTAACAACTTTTTGCTTACCAGTGTGATTTCGTAATGTCCTGCTTAATTAACAAAAATAATGAATGATTAATAAGCAATTATAATCCTTTTAAGAATAATAAGTGCAAATATGTACATGAGTCCTTTTTTTTATATATAAACGAACAAATAGTATGCTATACAGAAATAGTAATTCTGTCTAAACTTCCTTGAAAATGGTCCGATTCGGACCATTGAAATGTTTATACTATTATAAGTTTATATGCGATTTGCAGGCTTGCATGGCCAAAGTTTGATTAACAAATCAATTTCAAACATCTTAAATTGTTCCCGAAATATAATTTTGTAAAGTTAAACTAAAAAAAAAAATTTTTGAAGCACATAGGGTATTTTTTGGTCTCTACTGTCTTTACAAATATAAAGTTATGTGCAACTATAGGATTGGATGCAAAACCTTAATAAACATATACCAACAATTTTAAATTACAATTCATCTGAATATGATTTAATAAATGTCAAATCAAAGCTTTGTAACACACACGAACACCAGATAGGGAACTTTTGCTGAACTGATCGTGCCGAACTGAATGTGCGTTGATATTATGCAACTACTGTTCGAGTTTGATCGACCTTCTTCCGTTTGGCTTACATTGCACATGGACTCCTTTGGCTTAATCGATATTGCAATTTCACAACAAATGTCACACACACAACTCGTTGCGGTTAATGCTCACTCATTCTGTCATGCACACAAATACGCAAACCCCTATTGTAAACATAATGTAAAAGCCACATACATATACGCACTTGAGAGTATCCGATCTTGAATAATTCTTCGATAAATATCCGATATATAAACGATAAACAGAGCAAGATCGCAATCATTGTCATCATTGTCACATCGACCTTTCGCATCGGATGAGGTGTCTTATAAGCTGCCCAACAGTCAAACACTAACTGTAAGTAGTCGCACCCGGCGAGGTCTGCGAATAATTGCATTGAGGCCAACTAATGACACCAAGCGAGGTACTTAAAAAGGCTCAGACTCGATAATCTTTTTATATACGTCTATCGAATTCTGTTGATCTTATAACATTCGTACACTTGATCCTTCAAAAGCATGATTTCAGTACTGTCTGGTCTTTTTGTTGAGAACCCCAGCCCATTTTACATTCTCCGCTCTCCGCCTGCTCCTGCTACTGCAAGTTTTCTCTCTGGGTAATGTTTTTGCAGGTTGAGCAGTAATTTCTCTACCATAAGTCCCAGGATGGCTTTCAAGATTTGCTTCCTCCTGCCCCAAATGCCCAAAACCAGATTGCTCCATTTCCTAATAACACCTTCACGTTCAGTTTTGCTATGCTCACATCTTTCACTCCCATGACTGCAACTTAGTATGGCCAGCTTTAAAGTTGGGTTTGGATTAGCTTTCGTTACATCGCCTGCATGCCACTCACACTCGCACTTTCAAATACATCCAGATCTACACACTCAATCACTAAAACTTGCGATTTTAATCGTTCAATTCACTCGGGGTGTTTTTAATAAGTTCGCTTCCGCTTGTAACACGCAACCATATGTTATTTAACCGCTTAAGAAGTTTCAATGCTGAAGTGTGGCATAGTTGCTTGCCGGCTTGGTTGTTCCAAAACAGATCCCGGTAGTCCCTATGGTGTGTCTGGGTAAGAGAGGTAAGAGGATGTCTTAGTCTCAGTTAAAGCTTAAATGAAATCCGGCTGTTTTATCCGTTTGTGAGGTAAATTTTTGTTTCGTATTTTATTTCGTCAATCCACGCCCTTTTCTGTTCTATCAAATACATTTTTAAAGTGAGTGTTCGAATATAACAGACTTCGTAGAAGGTAATAAACAAGCTTAGCATAGCCAAGCCATTCTGCGAAAATAGAAATATCGACTTAGAACCTTGCTGAGCTGTAATTTTCCTAAGCAATTGAACTAGAATACAGACACCAATACAGATACCAATGACACATATACACACACAGAGATATATATATAGACAACATAGAAAACTCTGCTTACTGATATTGATCTTGATCTATCTTTGTATACCTGCTAGAAACTGCAGAAAACTTGTCCTACTAATTTTCAACTCTACTTTATTTGTTTCTGTATTTTTCAAAAAAATCTCAAAAACTGTGTAAAAACCATTACGAAATCAACAAAAATCTCTTGAACGCCGCCCAACGAATTTCGTTTGACCTGTGATCGATTGTCAAACGTCTGAGTAAAATAAAACTGCACCGAAAAACAATCCAATTGAATACAAAACCAATCAAAAACATTTCTTTGTTGTATTCGTCTTGTAAATTGCAACGATCCGAACTATATCTGAATATCTGATTGCAATCAAAAACAAACTGCTCAATGATAAATTCAACAACACCAACCACTACTACTACAACTAACAACAACAACTACATCAATGATTGAACAATTGCCTGAATCGTCAAAAAAAAAAATTAAACGTTTCTTATGCGGTATATGAGTAATGTGCACATTGATTTGTCTCAAAACAAATCCAAAATTTTGAATTAAAAATGGTTTCTGACTAACAGGATGTAAGTAAACAAATCTATCTTCCCATGCTTTCTACTTTCAAAACTAACAAAACTCCAACATCAACGGTGACAACAAAACAACACAACAACTTACAAAATTCTTTGACTTACTAGCCAATTTAGAATTACCTTAACTACTACCAGAATGTTTACCACGAATTGTAATTTCAACTTTGAATTCTTTATATACGAGTAGATCACATTGTCGAATCATCCGTAGATTCAACTTTATTTTATTTGTTCGCCCACTCTCTATTTATTTACTCTTAGCTAGTTAACAAATATCAGAGAGCTTAGACAGGGCTGGGCCTGATCTTTGTGATTATATACCTGTGTGTATTTTCCCGCATCCTTTATTTTCAATTTTCGGCTAGAATATTCCAATTAAGTTACTTTTAAGTGCGTCGTCCCAAGTTTCCTAGGATTCATATCTTGAAAGGAACAACAGCGTGGAATTGTTCTTTATTGTACTCCTCTCTATCTACCCGCATACCCCTCAGAGCCATTGTATGCTAAGCGCAGAATCCCAGGTAGATATAGCCTTTCTGCTTAGCTCATTCTCTATATCCCGTGTATATATCTCTCGACCAATTGGTAACCCTGTTGGTAACTTCAGTGTGCGCGAGTTTCTTTTGTTTTTATTTACGTATCCTACACCAATTTTGTGCAACAGGCAGCGACAGTGTTGCGTCACAGCTTGCTATTTTGATATCTAATCTCTCATCAGTTCTAGACTCCGTAGTCAAATAATGTTTGTCTCTATACACTTTTTAGCTTTAAGTATGTGCAAACTCATTACGTAATTAGACTAAAAAATGTACATTCACACGGGATTAGCAAATGGTAATCTCGAAATTGGCTTAATTGGTTCCAAAGAGATTGTCTCGACTCTACAAGATGCTGTCGACTTCGTTCAATCTTTTTCGAATAAAATTAAGCGCTTCTCCCGGAGCACACCCTGTTAAATTCGGGTAGAACTACTTTTCGTTTGTTTCAGTGTACATATACAATATTATTAACCACAAATAGTATATAATTTCATGTTCTGCAGTGTCGAATCGGCAACGCGAAGGCTCTATTATTCTTTGTTACATATTAATGCAGATCCTACGGTGAGGCGGTATGCGTCCACAAGTCAGCGGTTGACGTGTTTGGTTATTCATTACCCGACACCCAACACCCAACATCTGTGTGTGCAGACGTATTAGGGGTACCACTATCCTCGATGGCACCCTGAAATGCGTCCGCCCATGCTAGAGTCTCAACAGCTGATGCGTAAAATATTTTGGCCAAAGCCCCAGTCGAACCGGCTTAACATTCGACTTCGGTTACACAATAGTTACAACGCCACGTGAATAAGCAATTAGTACCGCAGCGTTAATTTCCTCCACATGGAGTAATTGCCAAGGCAAATTATTGTACATACTTACTTAACTGCTGTACCGTAAAATTGGTTTTCGCCATCCCAGGCCCTTTGCAAATTATATACGTAGAACACGCCTCGCATGTTCCACTTTACCTTGGGACGATTAGTTTAGACGAAATACCCACGCACAAACATCGCTTTCCAAAATGTTTTCCTTAGACGATCAAACACATATGTGTATTTTTCTACTCCGTACAGTTTGTTATTAGTATTTGGCAGACGCCGACGCACAAATCACTATGTTTCTGGTGATCATTTAAACACAAAACACTGAAGCAGATACACATACACACAAAAACGCTAACAGGCAGTAATACGCACAAAGTACCATTTCAATATATTTTTATAGACTTTTTATCAAAAAAAAAATGATTAAAACAAACTTATATATTTAAATCTTAAAATGGTTGCAAAGACAAGTTTTTTTTTTAGCATTTGGCCTCGCTCTTACTAACTACGAGTAAAACTCAAATTGGATCGTCTTTACTTTTATTATTTGTGATATAGCGAATTAACAAACATAGCTTAAATGATTTTTAAAAATTCTTATGTACAACTAACCAATGAACCTACCACCACTTCTATGTATGTAACTATTTACTACTTACTACCTACTACCTACTACTTACAACAACTGCGCCTAACCACACACTACTGCACCTAACCTTATACTACTCTTACTAACTACTAACTACTAACGGAACGAGCTACTTATCGATAGTTTAGATTGAAATGCATCGAATCACGTAGATCGATGGCGACGCCTTCTAGTTCTTTGAGCCGAGCTCATCGAATTCGTATGTTAAGACGGGAACGTTAACCAGTCTAATGCCAAATTCCTTATCTGTTCTGTTTTCTCTCTCTCTCTTTGTTTCTTCGACTCTCTTCCTTTGGCCAATAATATTTTACAGTCGAACTCAATCAACGTCGGCTTCCTGCGTTTATTTCGAGCGGCGCGCCTTATCAAATTACTTCGTCAAGGATACACAATACGAATTCTCCTGTGGACATTCGTACAATCATTTAAAGCACTTCCTTATGTCTGTTTGCTAATAGCAATGCTATTTTTTATATACGCCATTATCGGCATGCAGGTAAGTACCGGATCCAAAAACAAAAACAATGAAAACTTATAAAACCAATGAAAAGTGAATCTATGTACTAGGGCTACCAGTTTGTGGAAGTTACTTGTATTTCGTTAGCTTGTTGGCGGTCGGTTGTAAGCTTGCAGGCTCCACTCACTTAATGGTGCAAAGGAATCAGCTTAATACTTTTTGGGGTTGAATATTCCCTGTTGCTGATAATCGATTCCGGTGGTCTTTTAAAGCATTTAGAATAAGTAATTAGTTTTTGGTTTGGTTTTGCATTAGTTACTTTTTAAACGTATGAAATAGTTTACTAAATAGACATGACTGTTGGACCAATTTAATGCCTATTCATTCAATTATATTGCTTACAACAAAACAAAAGGTTTTTGGCAACATAAAGTATGATCCGGACACGCAACTCAACCGTCACAATAACTTCCAGTCGTTCTCCGGTGGAATCATGCTGCTCTTTCGGTAAACGAGAAAAGTAACCTAGTTAGCAATAGTAATTTAATAGCGATTACCAAAAGATGGCACAACAGTCACTTATACTAAACATTAAACGTAGTCATATGTCGAGTCATAATTCGAGAATACCCCATAAGTGTGCTTATAAGAGGTCCGCCATCGTATAAACCCACTCCCAATCTTCGATGGTGAATTCGGTCGCTGTAATTATACTAGAGGCAATACGCTGTGGTCAACTTCCCATAACCAAACAAAAATTTCGATCATCTCTCCATTGTTTGTTTAAACTTCAAACTAAATTTACGCATACTCGCATTCAATCAATCAAGGAAACAATGTATGCGTTTAAAAGTTGTTTGATCCGTATTGCTTGGAGTTGAGATTTGAAATCGAGCTACATGTTCGTATGCCATTAGTAGCTTTGATTTTGTAATTGTTCCATTATTCTGGACTCGTTTTCAACACTATTCGAATGTGAATGTAGCTTTCCATAGCACATTATGTTTTAATGTTGTTCATAGATGCGCTAGCTTTTAACGTTTATTTTCCTTAATGTTTGTGTTTTTGAGAAGATACCAGCCGTGTATTCCCTAAACTTCAAATGACACTGCTTCTCGAAACAAATGAAAATAACGTCAAATAGTAATCCATTAAGCAGAATATATACTACCTTTGTTATGTTATCACTTATATATTTTTATAAAGATCTGCCTTATTCAACAATGCCTACTTCTTTCTCATTTGAAATCGAATCCCATACTATATAATGTAAGAATGTTTTAAAGCCTTTATTTGTTTACCAAAATGGAAAACCACATTAGAAGCCTTAAAATAAAATAATATCTTTTCTAATGTACATCACTTTAGGAATATAATTTTTAATAGGCAAGTAAAAGAAAAAAATTAGATTAACGAAGATATATATTTAGTCAAATCGAGCATCATTACAACCATAGGTTTGCATACGTTTATGCGAAGTCGTCCAAAGGAACATTGGACTTACTCTTTGCAAGGCTATACAAATTTCATAACTAAGTTATTTGAACCTCGAAAGTAAAAGGTTATCGCAAATGGCCCCTTCTGTGGTTTTCCTTGATATATTTTTTTTTTTGTACAAAGTCATATTTTTGTTTTATGTTAATATTATCTTTTCTTGGTAGTTTGTAAGCCGAGTAACTTCTTAATAACGTAAAACTTGGTTATAATTATTTGATTGGAGAGCTTTTAAGTAAAAGATATAAGTTTTTCAATGTTGACTGCCATAGAGTTTTAGCTGTGCAATTCCCAAACTATCCATTCACACCCACACACCTACATCGACTTTGAAATCGGGGGAAGTCGTCACACATTATTTACGCATATTGTATGCAGAAGGAGGATTTCTGGTCCTCTTAACCCACTCTCACACATGGATTTGCCGTTGTTAGTAGGCGAGGCGGTATCGAAGGTTTTTCGTTGAGTGTAGTGACAGCAGTGTGGAGGATAATGAAGTGGAGGCGAATCTGTGTAATGTGTATATAACTTAATTATTTCAATTTCTAAATAAAAATGAACAAATAATCAATGCATTCTTTACCGATATTTAAATCGTGAATAGGTGTTCGGGAATATCAAACTAGGTACGGTGGAAAATTCCATTACTAGACACAACAACTTCCAATCATTTATTCAAGGCGTCATGTTGCTATTCAGGTACGTAACACCTAGATTTCTCCAGTCTTTTGCAATATGTACTGTTATTACCCAACCAAAAGTTTCGACTCTCAGTAATTAAGTTAATAGTTATACCTATAATACAAGTTAGCATAATTTAACTATACCACTATCCATATGCTCGCATTGATAGATTTTCTTTCAAGTCGCGATGTTATACTTTATATCTAATTGTAAAACAAATAGCTTAGCGATAGGGTCATCTATGGGGTGGATAGCACCCTGAAGGCGGAACACACTAGCAACAAAAATATATTATGTCAGTTAGACATTTAGAAATTAGAAGCCTTGAGGGCATTTACTAAGGAATTTTAACATTATTTCATTATAGTTTCTTCTAAAACGTATTATCAAGTTGTCACCCATTAATAGTGATGCCAAACAAAAAACTAGACTTTAGACTGACTTTCCTAGCATATTTTTATATAATTTGTGTTGGTTTCTAGTATGATGAAATATACATTTCTTCGAGGTTCCACAAGCTGATTACGGATCAAAAATGTCGAATCGCTTGGATTTTCGACAACCATAAACGGTGGTAAATCCATAACTACAACCTTAAACAATCAATATAAAACAACTCAGATCTCCAACCAACTTCATTACATACATTCGTTTTGCGTAACAATAATTCAAGTTTTTTTGGTACCTGTGTAAGTAGATTGAGTTCTAGAGTTGCGACACTGATTCAACAAAACTGGAATATACGTATACATAAATGTAATATCTATGTATTAACAAACCTGTAGAGCTATATTACAAAATTACTACATCTAAACGCAGCTTGATTTTTCGAAGTTTGCACTTTTCGTTGTTGCAGTTAATCAGTTGGGATTTAAATGAAAGTTTAATAGTTTTAAAGTATTGCTGGTAATTTACGTTATAGCTGTATACATACATACATTTATAATATATATATTTCTCATAAACTTGAACGACGCAAGGGTTTACCCGTCCCTATTTATATTTATTTATAGCTACATATATATAACGATAGTAAAGTTAAAAGAACTCTCGGTTGACATATGTCTGTATAAATGTCATATCATTACATTTCGTTTACTAGCAACTCGTCCTTATGAATATATTACACATTTATTTTTATGAAATTAGGTATGACAAGTCTATAAAAAATGTTTTCTGAATTGATAAAAGTTTTCGTTTATCAGGAACTTCCGCTATTACCAACCATAGGTATTTTTAAACCGTAACTTAGTCTGTATGTAACTACATAGTGTTTTGAGAGAACATATAAAATAGCGGGTAGACTCCGAATTTATTTTATTTTTAACTTGTCTTTGTTTGTAAAAATTCAATTGCTTATATAAATAATATTTATATATTTAGCTTATAAATAAAGTATTATTAGTATGAAAACAATAGTTTAATGGTAATAATATTAACTAAACAAATTAATTGTGTAGTCAATAATTTCAAGGACAATAAATAGTAAATTGGTTGCAGCTTCAAATATTAAATAAGTGATCTTATCAACAATCCAATTTGATGTATACTGGTGCATTTATGTACGAGATTAGACAAATTAAATATGGCACTTTTAGCTTTGCAGTCATCCGATTTAAAAAAAATTCAAAAGCCCCACCCAAAATCGTTGAAAACAACCATGTTTTGTCTTACGTACTGTATTATAAAAATAATGCTATATCAATTATCAACATAGTTCTTATAAACTTAGTCGTCCGATCCCGTATTTCCTTTCTTTTTATGTACTAAATCTTATGGAAATAAGGCTATTGTAAAAGTGGCATCCAGATATGATCAAAATTTAATTTGAGCTTTTACGTTCTAGTATGCTGCAATCTGAAAAAAAAATTAAAATCATTAAGGTCCCATATAACTTAATAATATAACTTATAATCCTTTCTCAACGGATTTTTAATTCTCTTGTCGATTTTATTATTTGAAAGTGTAATGTAGATTTCAGAGACCCAAATTAGTTTTTTTTTACTGAAGAGTATTCTGCAGTTTAACAAAGAGCATATCTTTTGTTATTATATAATCATATATAGAGTAAGCTGTACAAATACCCTTAACACCACTCAGCCCTGACTACCCCAGAGTTACCTGTATGTATATACACTCATCTACTTATCTGTAAATACATAGAACTTGGTCAGTAGTAACGAACCGACATACTCAAAAAGTGCCTATTCATACTAAAATAATCATACTTAGTTCTACCTGTACCACAAATGTGTACCCTATTTAGATAGAAATAAGCTCAATTTGCGTATTAATTATTTGTGTCATTTTGCCCAACCACTCGTGAAAATGGAAATGCAGGTGTGCGACGGGCGAAGCCTGGCCAAACATAATGTTGGCCTGCTTGAAGGGCAAAGCCTGCGACGAGGACGCCGAAAAGGCCCCTGGAGAGTACTGCGGATCCACACTGGCCTACGCCTACTTCGTATCGTTTATTTTCTTCTGCTCCTTCCTGATGTTGAATCTGTTCGTCGCTGTCATCATGGATAATTTCGATTATCTCACAAGGGACTCCAGCATATTGGGTGCCCATCACTTAGACGAATTTGTGCGCATATGGGCGGAATATGATCCAAATGCGACGTAATTATCTGTTTAATATACACCACATAACACATATCCCCTTCAAAATCTTTTTTAGTTCTGTTTATAATTTCAGTTTCAGTTTCTTCCTTTCGGTCATTCAAGAAATGATAAATGAGCCGCGCGGGCGGCTCTTCTATTATATTAAACGATTATTATTTGGTCGTATTTGATTCATACTCGATGGTTGACAACGGTCCCGAGCGGCTTTGTGCACAAGTTTAGCTTAAGTTCTTTTACGTAAAAGGCATAGGAAAAGTGCAATTATTTTCGCATGCTTTCCCATGCATGAGACACCCAACCAGTGGTCCAACGTCCTAAGGATTGTCCGAGAGCAACCCAATCTGGCAAAGGATTTCGAGTCTTGCATGTCTTTCTTTGGGCCGATTATTTCCACTCTGAATTCTTTATGCTACAAGAAAAACTTACAAACAAAAAACAAACAAAAAAAAACAAACAAAAAAAAAACAAACAAAAAAAAAAACATACAAAAAACAAACAAACATAAACCAAAAAAACAAGCCCGGTATTCGTAGAGCGCAATGGTGCTACTTCTGATTGCCGGGTATCTCATTGTCGGGTCATTCGACTATAGCTTTTTAACTAGCCGAGGACCAAGTTCCGAGAGCTAAAGCACTCAACACCCCACTAACTTTTGCTGTGTTCCCGGATAACTAGTGGAAAAATTCACTACACGGAAATGTACGACATGCTGAAGAACATGGACCCACCGTTGGGATTTGGAAACAAATGTCCTAACCGATTGGCCTACAAAAAACTAATACGAATGAACATGCCCTTAGACGACGAGTTGAGAGTGCAGTTCACCACAACGTTATTTGCTTTGATTCGGGAGAATCTCAGCATCAAAATGCGGGCGCGTACGTATCACATTCACACAGTTTTTTATAAAAAGTTGTAGTTAGTCCTATCCTATTTACTCCAAATGTTTTTATATTTAATGATGACGGTAAAAACTGTTTTATTTGTTGGACCGAAACTAAAGATATTTATTTCCGTTCCTATAATATCGATCTTTTTAAATTTCTTGTTGGAGAACAATTATAATTCCTTGATTTCCTTGGGTTACTTTTCTTAAAAAAAAAAAAAAAAAATAGTGAGGAGTCGTTGTTGTAGTGGTAACGGTCTGATGGACATATTCTAATCCGATTTCTCACCTCCCGTGCTCAGCTGAGGAGATGGACCAGGCGGACATGGAGCTAAGGGAAACCATCACGAACATCTGGCCCCTGCAGGCGAAGAAGATGCTGAACCTGCTGGTGCCGCCTAGCGATCAGCTCAACAAGGGCAAGCTCTCAGTCGGTAAAATCTATGCAGGTTTCCTCATCCTGGAGTCCTGGCGCAGCACGCGGTTCGGCCAACTTGATTCGGGAATGCCGGTAAGCCACACAAGAACCCCATCCAGCCCCTAACACAAACAACCGCACCACATCAGTTGCGTTGATTCGAAGATGAGTCGATGAACCGCGGCCAATTCACTTGGACTGGCCGCACTGTACAGTGCCGGCTAGTTTTTATGATACCCCTCCACGGTTTACCCAATAGGAATATTGAGGCATAAAGAATAAACAGACTTAGGCAGATATTTCCTACCTCAATTCGCCTTCTTTATTATAATATTAAGTTATTTATAAAAAATCGCCCTTAATTTAAGGAAACACCTTACCTTCTGGTCCCAATTTGGTTTTAAATCTCAAAAAACTGCTCAAAACTGGCTTATAATATGGTTTTACCAATACAAAATTGTTAGTGTATAGCGGCTTCAAAGGTTTTGCGAATTTATCGCAGTGTTAAAAATAAATTGCTACTATTGCGCTTTAAGAAAATAAGTGTAAATTAACATGAGTAAGATTTGGGTATTAATTTAAACTTAGGTTTGTTTTCAAGACTTCAAGGAAGGTCCTAAACTTCCTAAAAGAAAATGCAGTCCTTAGTTTTAGAAAGATTTAAAATTTTTAGGTCGATTTTTATATTCGGTGTAGGAAGAAGAAGGCGCGCAGATTTGTCCCATTCTACCATAAACAATATGCTTAAAAATAAACAACACCAACTACGAATATTCTATAACATCTATATAACATGTAATATTATGATTTTTCTTCTTATACGATTGATTATGAACTCTCTCATTGAATAACAACAAATAAAATAAAAAACCGTAATCAAATTAATCGAGATAATGAAAAATATGCAGAACTGGAAGGAGGTATATAATTAATTTTATATGCAACCTCATGTTAATTACATTTGTACATACAATACCCTATATATTGCACACATACATGCCCGTTTGTATGTGCTACAACTAACCAAACCTTAGCAGTACACACTCGCATTTATATATCTACATAGTTGGGTACAAATATGTAATTTAACGTACACACGTGTACAAGCAGCTGCCCATAATTGGCCCAAGGCCCCTATCAAATCTGATCCTTGCGAAAACTATTGTACTCCAAATTTGAAATTGTTATGGGCAGTCAGGTGGGATCAGAGGCGGATCCAGTGGCGAATTGAAATTAATTGATAATTTTGTGTTAATACAGTCAAAATTGAAGACTTTTTTTTGGAGAATTAACCTGCCTTGGATCTGCCACTGTGTGGAATGCATAATTTTCTCGAACTAAACTAAGTTAAACGTATCCTAATCGGGAACAGAAAATGTTGCAATTCAATAGGGATTGCGGTTATCGTTAACTCGTGTAATGAGCAATAAAAATAAAGTTCAGTAGAAGTCGAATTTTTAAGTAATTACTTCTATATTCCCATATATCGGTAGAGTTGACCAGTTCGTATTTTGAATCTCAAGTTGCGATTGTATGTTCGTTATAAGTAGACACGACCAAACCAGAGTTTACACCTTATACAAACTGTATGTGTATGTATTGATTCTTAGATATTTCTAGAGGTTCGTCGTTTGTTTTTACACTGAAATCCGGAATAATTCGAACGCAACTTATGTTTGACACAACTTGAGAGCCAAAATAATATCAAAAAGGATTTACAAAAGTCAAGGGCCATCTTCACACACTCCCCACACACAATCCCCACACACAATCCCCCAATCTCCCTATACTTAGGGCCGGTTTCTTGATGTGCAGTTAAAATTTTTCCAAACGTTAAACTTACCAAGAAAGATACTGTTGTTACATTCAAGCTCAACTTAAGCTTTAACTGGACATAAAAAAAGTGTGCCTATGTGAATAAATACACATGTACTGAAAGAATTAATTTAATGTTTTATCTGTTATCCTTTTGTGCACTACACACAAACAATCAATGACCAACTCAAAATTGAAAACTAAAAACCTATAATTAAAATTGATTCATTTTTAATAAACGTTAATAATATTTGGACGATGTGATAATAATTACATCAATAATAGCGGAAGAAGCCGGAAGACGATGATGAGCATAAATATAGCCCAACGGCAGTCCAAGAGCCGGTATATAATATATTTACATATATATACCTATCCATACTTCGCTTGGTTTTTCTTTCGCCTATTAAAGCTCCTCCTCTTCCACCTGTTTTGCGTCTTCTACTTTTGTACAACTTTTCACCATTCTCGGCTAGAGGCATGTTTACATACTCGCCTAAGAGTACTAATAACTAGGAAACCAGCATAAGCCTGCCAATCCATATAACAAACCGCAACCAAATCCAGTGCAAACACACCCAATCCTATATTTATACATTTGTAGATGAACACCAAACTGCAATGCCATGGTCATGTTTCGCTTCACACACTAGCCAACCAATCTTTATACTTGATAAATGACTGTACACTTTCCACAAACTAAGGATTCTCTGTGGTCTGTAAGACGTGTCCCATGTGTATGCTTTATTTTTAAATATTTAAATTTTAAAACTCTATGGTAAAGAGGGCTTCGACCGAGATGTCCTTTTTTATGAAAATTTTGTTGATTTATGTGTATATACATACATTGATGTGCAGGAGCCACGAATTTTCGCTGCATCGGGACCCAAAATGTTCTATAGTTTCGAGAAAGCCAAACATACCATCCAGCAGAGAAACATAATATCAACAGTATTAATACAATACAGCTATCGAATTTCACACGCCATAGTTGCCAACAAGAATTGTATATATTTTCTATCATTTTTTAACCGAATTCCACTTCTTAAGTGGCATCTACGTCTAGCGGTGCAGACGAGAAAAATAATTAACTCCAAGCTACTGAAATGTATCATAAATAAAATACAAAAAAACCTCCGGGTTTTTTGTTTTCAATAAAGAACCCCTTTACATCGAGCCGGCTTAAAACAATCATTAAAAAATGCTCTATAGACCTATAAACGTCTTTTAAATAATTTCTTATCTACTGCTTGGGAGCATTCTGGGTGTAAATTAGTGACCATGGCTGTAGCAGTGACATGCTGATATTCAAAATATGTTGAGTAAAGTCCAACAGCGAATTCTTTAGGATTAGCCAATACTTAGATTTACATTCGTATAAAACTCCCTATTTAAGTACACTTTAAACTTTATGACAGGAACCCAGAAACGTCTGGATAACTTGTTTGAACCTCATAAAATCCAATGCGAAAATTATTTAGTCTTTAGGAAATAGTACAGCTTAAACGGCTAATATTTTTATATAATATAATACTGTGGCTATAATTCTAGTTTTCTCTAGTTGAAACTTGCTTGAAACTCACCCAAAGCATCTAACCTTGTTTGATCCAAGCCGAAAACTCATGGCTAACTAAATTATATTTAAAAGTATTGAAATTTGATAATCATTTCGATGATTTTTCGTATCATTTTTGATCATTTTAAAAACGATATTTATGAAAATATTATTTTGGTTATCTTATATAAAAAGTACATGGTTGTAGTACACTTATTGAAATTCTTAATCAAAGTCAAAATAATAATAACATAATAATGGAATTGCCAATTAAAAGTAAAAAAGTAAGCCAGCTAAACGTTTTTGACGGGAGGTAAAAGACTATGCACCTTTTAATACTGCTTTTTTTCGTCGAATGGATCTAATTCCACATCAATTTGAGATAGCTTAAAAAAAAAACAAAATTCACATCAATACGAAAAACTTTTCGTATAAGCATGGTTCGTAAATATCAATCATTTTAAATACCCCAAACATTTTTTAAGTTTCAAACCAAATTCCACTTTTTGAAAGATATTTAACGAGGCCTGGATAGAGATTTCCAATACCTCCAATTGGGAAGAGATTTGAAAAATTCGTATATTTTTTTTTGATAAAAACTGCACACTATTTTTGTAGTGTTAATCAGCTCCACAGGAGAGTCGATCTATCCATGTCTGTCTGTCTGTCCGTCCATGTGACCGTCCGATTGTACTTTCTTTCTTGCTTAAATAATTTTTTAATGTGACGTCACTATCACAATTTGTACATAGAAAACTTTGTAAACATTTTTGAAAAGGCGTTGCCGTCGAGGATAATAAATCATCATTAAATAATGTTAATAATACAAACAATTTTTTTTTTGGTTCGCTTTGAAATTATCGTTACTACTCAAACTAAACTTATTCGTTTACGACCAAATTTCAAACAGACCTTTTGCTTTTAAGGGGTGGGTACGGTTTTTTTCTGAATCAACAACATGTTGAAAACATTCTGTACAAATTTCAAGTCAATCCGAGTAAAACTAACGGAGTTACAACTTTTTAAACGACCGGCGTCAAGGCGTCTTCGAAGATTCACGCCTACTGGCTTAATTTTTATTATTGTTTTTTGAAAAAATTTTCTTACATTTTTTAAAAATTCTATAATAATATATAATTAAATTAAAAAAATAATATAGGTTTCGCCGTAAAAAAAATCATAACAATATACTTTTTTTCGCCTTTAAAACCCTACATCCCCTATGAAGGACCCGACAAAGCTATTTTTTAAAGTACGGAATGACTTCGCCCTTTAGTTAAGTTTATTACACACTATCCTGAATCCTTTTTTGAATAGCGCACTGTTTCTTATTGATAGATTGGACTTTTGCACTAAACCACAAAATGGCAAAGCTATAGTCCCGAGTTAAATATATATATATATAATGAACCTTTTGTACAAATACCCTAGATTGATCTAAACGCGTGAATATATCATTAAAATTAAGTACATAAAACTGACAGTGAATGGATTTAATAAATTCATTATTTTTATGAGAATTCAGGCAAATGTCCCATATTTAACATTTTAGTCTACTCGTCGAATTGCTGTTGAATTTCTTGTAATCTAACCGCTAAATAGGCATGCTTTAGGTAACCAAGGTAACCAACCTAAAGACACGAACTAATCTAATTCAAAAAGCAAGCATGGAAGATATTAAAAAAATCTGATAAATTTTGTAATGCTAAATTGCCTATATGACATTAGCCTTAAAATGAAACTAAAGATATATGCAAAGAGATACAAAAATTCTTGTAAAGACAACAAGGTTTTAAGAAACGAGGAATCAAAAAGATTTCGTGGTCGGAAAACTGTATTATTTGTAAAGCTACCTTTAAAAGGAACATATCTTTATTTGAGACCAAAACAAATAAATAAAGAGTTAAAAAACCAATTTTTCTTTTCAATTGTAATTTGTAATTGAATACAAAAGGGAAAACATTAACTGGACAGTAATACTATAAAAATCGAACGCATTTGATGCATTTGGGGAAAATATTAAATATTAGAAGCAAACGTAGACGATCAAAATTTTTGAGCCCAAGTTTTTTTATATGCCTTGTACAGTATTTAGGGACTTTTTAAGGTCAATGTCATATGGTCTATTTAAGATTATAACTAATTTTAATGCCACATATATAGATCGTTTTTTAGTTTTATTTCTTTTGTCATTAGTAAAAATATTTATACATTTGGTATTCACTTGTTTCTTTGACCGTTTTGATAAATTGGCACATAATAGAAAAACAAATAATATTAAAAACAATTGTCTTATAGCGGTACCTCTTAGATTTTCTTTAATCATAGTGAGTTGTAAAAATGTTTGCGCATGCTTTTACCGTATTAAGCAAGCCTCTCTTTTAAGCTATTTACCAAATCTTAAGCGAAAGCATCTCTTATACATTGCCTCCTTTTAACCTACATATTACCGACACAATCCGAATAGAGCTTGACACATCTCGAAATGCTATATACTACCATACCTCAATGTAAAGATATTAAGCAGGGGCTATTGCCCCATTATTACATATGTATACACCAATATATGCTACGCATATGTACATTTATGCGAAAATAACAATATTTTTGATTATCATTTTTGTTCTGTAATCTACTCAAACTTTTTAATTATTCTATAATAATTCTTACATTCCATTTTCAATGCTTATACAAAAAATATCAAAAACAAAACCAATCCCAATGCGTTGCAATGTTACTACATCAATACTCACCACTCACCCAACTTTAACCACAACTGTGTCTACAATAAACAACAATTTAATTGAAATGCAACACTATCTGAAATCTGTATCTCTACAACTCTAAAACCAAATAATTAAAAACAACACACGAAAAATATTCATGCAACCGAACTACAACGAACAAAACGAAACAAAACGAAACCAAAACCAAAACGAAACCAAAACCAAAACGGAACGGAACGGAATGGCAACTCAAAATAAAATCAAAACCACTGCACTTTCCTGTCTACTGTCAACTACCAACTACCAACTACCAATTGCCAATTGCCAACGGCAACCAAAAATCCGTAGAAACAATCATTTTTTAACTGCCTCCTCGATATGGCCGCCCTTGACAAAGGAGGATCGCGTCAAGGCTCCATAAGTTTCGAGCCAAATGGGGAAGGAGCCGCCAACTCACAAACACATTTGTTAGCCAGCACGCACCACCACCACGCAAACGGTGATGCCGAACACAACAGTTTGGCAACACTAGCACGGCGGAGTACGATCAGAAAACGATCAGTTAGGTAATTTAAACAGCTTCAATCTTAACTATAGTCCGTTAAGTGCAAAGTATCATTGTCAACGCCATTACCATTACCATTACCATTACCATTACAACGCCATCAGCATCACGGCCATCTAAACCCATTCGATCATCACTCCATTCCACTCATCACCAACCAAGATGAGCAGGTACCCATCCCAAGAGCGGACTCATTTCTGATTGTACTTTAGAAACTCTAACCTGTACTTTTGAAATAACAAGTGAAGCCTTGCGACCCGTTCCACGGAATAATATTTATTCCGCTTTGCACAAAAAAGTAGGCTACTATAATACTTATATCTTCAGCTCAAACTTCCTTTTCCCAATAATAACAATTTACATGAGTAGCTCGCTTCGCAGTCAGAGTCAACGAGTGATTCAGATATTGCCCCAATCAAAGGTTTGGTTCTGTCTTAAACCTAGAACTTCTTAACTAGGTTCATAATAATAAACATTTCTTTGAATGAGTATGTTCATAATAGCTATCCGTTCAGCTGCAGTTCGTCTGCAGTCATTTTCAAAAATATGAACTTGGACTTGAAGTACTCTAAAAAAAATGATTCAAGTATGTAAGACCTAATTTCTGAATCAATTTTCAAACCAAATCCAACCTATAGAGTTTTCCGAACTGACGGGATGCAATGGAATTTAGTCGGTATTCTCTCTGATCGTGAGATCCACAGCATACATTTACATACATGCATAAAAAACGTTCGTTTCACACACTATCAAAATACAATTTCTACTAATAACACCTACCAACACAATTAGTTACTAACTACAAGATCTTTGTGCCTTTGTGCATTTCAACATTGACATAAGTAAATTGTTTTTCTTCTAATTTTTAAATATTTCAGAAACAAAAAGGTGAATAAGTTTGATAAACTCCAAGCGGTAAACCAAAACGAAATTATCAAAAATTTACTAATCAAAAATAATAATTAATTGTGTATTATATAAATATATGTGAATACTCTTTGTGTCCATACTCAGTTTCCGATATAAATGTTGTTCACAACCGATTAAGTCAAGTAATCTACTAGTACCTTTAAAACATACTCACTCATAAGTATATGTATAGCTGTACGCGCCAATGTACCACGTATCTATGACTCTATGACTATGCAAACTATGAAAATGCCAGGTTGCATAATACATAATACATATCTCATATATACATGCGCACATGTGTGTACTGCGTGTTCGACCTACTTTAAATGTTTAATTTGCGTTTACTCAATAGTGCAATACATACTCGTACCTAAATGTTGCATAGCAATTTTAAAAACATTAGAAACGCAAAACTTGGCTTAGTACTCGTACTCAATGTTGTAATTTGATCGTTTCTATAACCACTACATGTACTCCTACGTACGTAGGCGTTCGTTCCCTGGACAAGTGTTATGAGTGACAGCGAACAGTGGGTGGAAAGGCTTTGGCAAAGGTCCATTCAACCTATCCAGTCCTCCCACACGATTCCGTTTTCTAATCCTGCCAGTGCACAGTGGGCCAGAAGGTTCAATTTTGTCCAGAAATGCTGAAATTAGGAAATTAACTCTTTGAACTAAACTATTATATATGATAACTACAACTGCAGCTTTTTTTATTACATGGTGATATTTTTTTGAAATTCTTAATTGTTTATGATTAATGTCTTAAGATTAAAAGATAATTTAAGCAATAATTACGAGAAAAAAATTGTTTCCTTCGCTTACCAAACTAATATAACACTTTGTAATATTCGATGAGAACAAAAATACTAACTTTAAAAGATCATTTAAAAAAAAATATTGTTTGCAAAAAGTACCTAATTTTGTATATGCTTAATTTTTTTGTGTTATAATTTATTCAGATGTTTGGAACGCAGGTATGATCAGCATTTGCGTTAAAATTTTTTCTCTTAGTTTAAAAGTTTGGTACTTAAAACTTACGCAATCGTCTTTTTTTATGAGCTGACAAGTACAATTTGAAAACGCCTGATCGGACATCCATATCATATAGCAGCCATTGTAAATATTAAAAAAAAGAAAAGTATAGGAATATTGATATTGCTTAGTTGTTTTTAAACAATTAAGATTACATTATCGAGATAAAAGTAGTCAATTGAACGACTATATCCCATAGCTGCCGTAAAAACGAGTCGAAGTTTGAGTTTATTTTATTTAAATTTTATATATATCTGCAAGAGTAAAAAATTTTCAAGTATTTCATCAGTTTCAAGCAAAAAGCGAAGTGGTTCTAAGATTTGGAAAATTTTAGCTTAAGTATATTTTAAGATTTAATTTTTTTTTTCAAAAAAAGAAGTATTTTTAGCCAAAAGAGAAATCTGCTGGTACTGTGTGCAATGGGGGTTGTTTTGGACAGCTGAACATTAGAAATCCATTTCTTTAAAGTTGTTCAGTGGACAACGATTCAAACAGGCTTAGTTTACTTGTAGTTTCCAAAAGCGGACGTGTATTTGTTTCCCTCAATTACATTCCCTAACCAAACAGTTTGCTAGGCCCTAAAATAAAATAGTGTAAGCAAGGCAACTGGCAATAACGCCAGTAGTGTAAGATTAACTCACCAAACCCAGTACAGTTGCGACCTAGACATATCCAGACACATTCATATTACACAAGAAAATAAGAATATCCCGCTCACAGATCAGCTCGTTTTCAACGATGCCTCGGCCACATTAATCGTTAACTCGAATTCGCACCGGACATGCCAGCCATGTGAAACAAGTTGGCGGTTCTAACTCTGCTCCTTCTCCCAGCCTCTTTTGGCATCGTCCGAAAACCCACGTTTTAATGCGACCGAATAATCATGCCTGTTCTGATTTCCACTTTTGGGACCAATTATTAAATTCGATTTCCACTTGCAAGAGTGTCAAGTTCAAGTAAAGCGTTGGAAAGTAAAAGTCGAAAAATAAAAGACAGAATTTTCTACGTACACATAAAGCCATTCTCAGAAATACTCTAATCAGGTAGTAAACCATGCAACTGAAGTAATTCATAATTTTCACTTTGTTAAAATTTATAATAGGATGCAATGAATTAACCTCTAAGTCATTTGTAATTTTTGTACAAGGTACAAGGTACAATTACCTGTAACGTTCATGATGAAATTTAAAAAAGGATACAGTGAAAAGAAATTCTAAGGGTGTCTTGAACAATTCGCATGACGTCATAGGGACCAAATCTTTTGTACCTATCGCTTCAAATATTGATTTTTTCCCGTAGCAATTTTGTATCAAGTTGAATAGGAGTTGTAACACGTAACTGGAATTTAATTAATTTCCTTCTTTTTAGGGAAAGTTATACAAAATTAGAAAACGGCATTTTCCTCCTAGAGTTAAAGCTCCCCAACTAAGCACACGGTTTGTAATTTGGACACCTAATGTAATCCCGCCACTGTTTAACACTCACTTTATAATGGTTTCGAGTTCAAGTGAGGCAAAGAGCTATTTTTTGCCGAAACCAGTATGGTTCTTGATTTCTAGCGAATTATCCCTCTAGTTACACATATAAAGGCGGCTTTATGTGTAGGTAGTAATTGTTTTCGAACACGATTTAAATGTAATAAGTAAAGAGTTCTCGTATTTAAATATTATGCGTTAGTCCATCACCTGTACGGTAAGTAAGTTCGTCGGCAATGTCTATTAAAAAAATGGACACTCGATGAAGCTGCTCATCCCCTGGCCCAGCGGGAGAAATTGGAAATGGACGCAGGACCTGACACCACCCATTACCCACCATTACACCACACATTTATCCAATATGATTCCTAAAGTAGTGCATGCCAACTAATATTAGCTTAGCTGTTATTGTTGCTAAACATGATTCTGCCGATAAAGCACTGCCTTGTTAAATATACGCTTTACAATCACATGCATGCAAACATCGTTTATAGCTTGTAGATATCGTGTAGAGAAAAATCTTGTCAAATTTTCACTCTCCAGATGCAAAAATCAACTAAAACATATTATTCCTTCGTATTTTGCGTTCAACTTTGTTTGTAGTACATCTATCACAATAAATATAGGACAATAAACAGAAATAAATAACGTTGATGAAACTCAATAACAAACAATTGGCGTATAAAAAAACGCAATATGGCTGTCATATCATTTCCAAAAAGCCCTCGAGTAAGAGAGACACCCAGTTAATTGTAATAGTATCAGAAACATATTATTTGCAGAAATTATACGTATACGTATACTCCTGAGTAGTGTATGGATTTCCCTAAATGTTACATGCCCTCAAATAGGTTAACCCAAACTACAAACCAACATAATCCCGCATTAAATAACCCTCTATTGTACTAGATTTACAATTAAAACGCATTTGAATATGTATTTTGTTGCAGTGGAGTAATGATTGCTTTTGTTTACTTTTAAATACCGTATACGTATACCCCTTAAATACTACATATATTCCTCAAAGTAAGCATACATGTCTCAATGTATATTTATTTTGTAGCATTATACCAGTACAAACATATATACATTAATTTTCCTGCGCTCCATTACGGGGCACTGGACAACTATAGTTCTTAATTTATAAATACACATTTAGACCTGAACATTCGAATCCATGCAATGAATGAATCCACAAGAAATCGGTCTGGAGAAACCCAAAACTATAAAATGCAGACAAAACACAGACAATCGCCAAATTACTATATATATCGATTCAGCTGGATGTACTACCCCGAAACCAACATCCTGCTTCCCCTGAGCCCAGCATTAAATCCCGCTCTGTTTGGACTGATTTCGAGTGGTGGCATTCATCGTGATTTCATTAGCCCACTAAAAGTCTTATTAACTCTTTCAATCAGATGCTGGAACTGCAAGACGCGTCGAGACATCCATCGCAGGAATCGCTTACCGGTGCCGATGCTGGCCATTTACATCCTGGACATTCGTACATGAATGGTCATCGGCGTTCGCCTAGCTTGAGGTAGGGTCGTGTCATCAACGTATAGGTCTGCCACTTACCTTTCACCTTTCTTTTTTTTTACCCACTTCAGGCACAACGGCTCTCCACTGGCCAGATCTCCGAGTCCTCGACGGCGTGGCCATCAATACATACATCATGATATCGGGTTCTCCGATACCGTATCTAATGTTGTAGAGATGGTCAAGGAGACGCGTCATCCTAGGCATGGCAACAGTCACCCGCGGTATCCAAGAGGTATTGATTGGCTCAACACACGACACACCACTTAACTGTCCTTTATGTGTGCTTGTCGTAAGATCTGTGGTCTCTGGGGGCGTCCTTAACCTTGGTTTAAAACTGGTTTGTCTGAATCCGGTATCCGGTATCCGATGTTGTCCCTTCCATTTGTGTCGGTTTAGACGGACTTGCAAGAAGCACACGTAATCAGGAACTTGGCAATGCCAGGGATTTTTTTATCTCTTTGTAGAATCGTAGTTATATACATATATATATATATGTCTACAATTCCATAGCTTTTAACAAAATCTTTTACTACAAGTATATATTCCAATAATGTTATTTTCGTTTCGATTAAGTTGGTCTTCCTTTGTTTATCTCTTTTAAAACAAGCAATCTGAAAAAGAAAAAAAAAAACATGTTGCTAAAATCAAATACGTAAAATGTTGTGCCCCGACATCCATAATTATTACTTTTTATTATTGTTGTTATATGTACAATATAGGTTCATGGTCAGCATCGACAAGTCCGGCCCGTTCGCCTTCGCCTTCTCGATATGGTGGTCATTTGTCTCGCAGTAAACGCACTCAACTGCCTTATCCCACATATGGGACAACCAGTCTATGTCAAAGATCACGATCGCCGAGTCCCGCTAGACTTCAGGAGATGCGTGAACGAGACAGACTTGGTTATGGGATTGATATGGGTACATCTCTAGCACTTGTTATCTAAAGTCCAACAAGATCAATCAAAAATCAAAACCAACTTAAAACTTAAAACAATTAAACAAAACTACTCAACTTGTTTTCTATATATGCTAGTATTTTCTTCTACACAAATTTCTTCAACCATCTCAACTTTTACAAACATCAAACATAGTTGCCAACCATGCTTAACATGTACATGTATTGTCATGCCAAGACGTTCAATCGGAACACATTCAGTCAATCATGAGCTTCAATAGTTTTATTTTATACATCCCACACAGCTCTAAAGTCATTCAGATCTCCGAGCTTCCACACCGAAGAATTCATTAACATGTCCTAAACTCAACTATTCGTACTTGTACTCGTACTCTTGTTACAATAGCAGCGTTTATCGTTTTCATTTCTCTAGATGTCATTCTCGTACCATCCACCTTTATTATATTCACATCTCGTATGTATGGTACTGACATGTACAGTCCAGTCATTCATCCTCATCCTTAAACTACCACACTGAATCTCTGGCAAATTCACTGTTTCTAAGCATACCATTGCTTTAAGCATTTAACTGAAGGTTAGATCTCTCAAGAGCCAGGGTTAATGTTGACGGACTCTAAGTGACACGATCTTACAAAGGGACACACTCGTGTTTTGGTACTGGTCACAACTAAGCGGAATAAAGTGTAGAGTATTATTGAGGGGGTGAGATAAGTGAACATCATTTTTTAGTACATTCTCCAAGAAGGTGAAGTTCGTAAGCCATAGTCGTAGAATTTTTGTTTTTCAAATCCGACCTCTGTCAGTCTAACCAGCACGGGAAAAGACTCTGACCAAGAATCTCTATTTTAAGCTTGCTTCGTGTTTCAAGAACCCCCCTAAAGTCCAGCCACTACTAAAGATGCACAGGCTATATACATTTGTGCCCTTTTTTCAAGTGTTGTTTTTTCCGATTTGGGCGGTGAAATCGACTAAGCTATTAGCTATTTACCAGAGGCAGTTTTGGGTGTTTCAGTATCTAGACGTGTGTGCATATGTATCTATCCTATCTATCTATGAATGTGCGTCAATAGCATTCTGCACCATTTTGTATCCCATCCCTTTTTATTTCTGCATAATGGTATCTATATATCAAATCAGTCATGCATGTTGCCATGAACAATTTAGCTGTCGACCAGCCACTCCCCAAATCATCCAACAACTTGTGTATATTTATCCTGGTACATTATAATGCACTGATGTTACTGTTCTATATTTTGTTAAGTTGTATAACTCTACACGGTGAACAAAAAATTGCACACGCTTAAGAAAGTAGATACAGTGAATGCATATCAATAATTTTGTAAACATCATAAAAGTTAAGTTAAATAGGTTCAGACTGGGACATGTTCACTTTTTTTTTTTGTCTTATTCCTTAATCACCTAAATATGTTATTAAATATTACTGAATTCAGAAAATCAGGTAGAAGGAAGGGTTTCCGATATTTATTTTTGATCAGCAAAAAGTCAAATCTGCTGATTTATTTTATTTTCGGGTAGCGCGTTACGGACTGATTATGATCGGGAATCCTGACTATAGTGCTTTCGATTTATAGCCGTTACTCGTAGAGTAAAAGACTATATTGTATTCCTATTCGTTGAAAAGTAAGTAAGAAATAAAATCAAGCGCTTGCGACCATATAAAGTATATGTATTCATGATCATGATCAATAGTCGAATCGATCTAGCTAAGATCGTCTGTCTGTCCGTCTATCCGTCCGTATGAACGTCGAGATCTCGAAAACTATATAAACTAGATAGCTGCTCGCTTCTTAGGGCGTTATTTTTACCAGTCTTTGGTCAAACCTGCAAAAGTAAATCGACTGATTTGATTTGTCTTTCTCTAAGAGCTGAAAAATATATCGTATTCGGCAGAACTGATTAGACCACCTTATGTAGTTGCATCATGGGGTCTGGTGATCGCTGATGTAGAGGGACAGAGTGAAAGAACTGTTCGTACCATCTAAAAATTAAGTTTGAAATTTGTTAGCTGAGTAACTTTCTTGCTTTGCTAAATTTAAATGATATAGAATCAGTATACGCCATAGTCTCTGCGATAATGGCTCAAATAGGGCCAGAAATTATAACGATTGTTACAAAATGATAGGGAAAAATGCAGACCAAGTCGAACTCTAAAAATCAAACTTTCCGAACATGTCCCATTCTGCTTATTGTTTCATTTCTTTGTATGTATGTTCCTAGCATTGTCGATGTCAATGTCAATGAAGAACAAATCAGGTACACTTCGTTTAGTATCATATCAGCAGAGTATTTTTTTGAACTATTATGCCCTCATAGCATCTGCTCCACGCACAGCGAAGTAATGCCTTCACTTCCCACAGGAGCAGCGCACGTGCAGCACAGCTACCCCACGTTGGCCTCCCGTCGCGCTGGAATCGGAAGACGCCTTCCTCCGACTCCGAGCAAACCGTCAACCCTGCAGCTCAAGCCAACCAACATAAACTTCCCCAAGCTGAATGCAAGTCCCACACATGTAAGTAATACCAGGCCGAAGGAAACAGGTCATAATATCATTACCCAGCAACTGCAACTAACTACCCAGAAAATCAATGACTAAAAATCGCCATACAAAAAAAATAAACTACGAATGATCCTTTTTACCCCATCTGTTCACACCCTACAAGGTTTATTTATTTATATTTTGTATAATATTTTTATACGCTAGCAGAGGGTATTATAATATCTTTCAAACTAGAGTCTATCTAGCCATATCCGTATTTTAAATTATTTATTGAGTAATAAAAATGATTATTTTTATTATTATTATTTGCTAAAAATAAAACTCATTAAAATTGCGCCTTCAGTGTGCATAATTTTGACCAGTTTTTTTAATAGGCCTATGGAACTACTTTAAAGGGATAAAATATCGTTTTGTGCACACGAAGCAGCAGATTCAAAATAAGTTGAATTTTGAGCGAAACAATATATATATAGATTGCCAAAAGTCATTATATTTGAGTTTTATTTTTTTTTATATATATTCATAATTTTTATGATTTTTAAAATGAAACTTTCTACGTGGTTACGGTCACTGCCATTACTGACTTTCGATTTCCTCTGGCAGACACACCACTCAACGCCCCACAGTGTTCACTCGCTACCACACCACCGTGACCTGCTGCGAGATCCAAGGGACATGTACTACAGTAGTAGAGAACGCGACCGGGATCGCGAGCGCCTTAGGGAGAGGGATCGGGATCGGGATCGCCTGCACGAGTACGACCTGCGCTACGAGTACAGGGATCGGGAGCGGGAGTTGTACGAGCGCGAACGGGATCGCGAGCGGGAAGTCGAAAGAGAAAGGTGCGTATTTAATGTGGAATAATGTTTGTCAATAATCTAGATCGATCTAATGCGTTGTCGCATCCCACACAGACTGGAATATATAGCACCGCTGTCATTCGAACAGGCGCTGGCTATGGGCCGAACAGGTCGAGTACTGCCATCTCCAGTTCTAAACGGTTTTAAGCCAAAGAGTAGTCTGAACCCTCGACACTCCGATTCGGACGAGGAGGATTGGTGCTAGCAAAGGCTTTGATTGCGATCGCGTAACCGAAAGGATCAGATCTGGGTATAGCATCAGGCCATATGCTCCTCCTTGTCGGCACCAAACTTAGACCACAATTTTGATACGATACGACACAGATACCAACACGAACATCAGCCCCCACACCTTTGTCCCCAGCCACACCTACATCGGCGGTACGACACGGATGTATCGACACCGAAACTAGGAACCACTATAACTATATCCGATATCAAATTGGCTGGAGAAAGCTTACAGGAAACAAACCCAAATCGACAACCGCAACCGCAATCGCAACGGAAGCAGGAGCAGCAATTGGAGCATCAAGATGGGCGGTTTAGGTGGCTCAGATGGTGCCAGGAGCCCTATGAACGCCCCACGATGGCATCACTGCCCGAAACCAGAGCAACATCGCCCCAGTCCGATGTCGAGTTCATCGCAAATATAAGGAGAAAAGAAACCGAATCCGGAACCGGAACCACTGCAATAACACCAAGGACAACTAAAACTGAAGCAATGATATTAAGCGTACCAACTACAATAACATCGCCATTAGCTATTAAAAAGATATACTCAGACAATGACATTAATTATAACACCGAAAGAGATAATGGCCGAGTAGAGGAATCAGCCCACCATTATCGCCAGCCAGAACTCAGCACCCCAGATCTACAACACGAGCCACCACTGCAGCAACACAACAGCCAGCACTATCCGCAGTATTCGTATCATACGCTATGAGGAGGATGGAATCGAGAACCAGAGTCCACTAGATGTGCTACTTTAATTAAAACTGAAACGAGGTCTAAGGAGTGTGGAAGATGACGTAACGAAAGTTAAGGGATTCGAACTAATACTTGCCACTTCGAGGCAAAATGGAAAACTAATTGATGGATATGGATATGAATATGAATATGATCAAGTGTATTGTACTTTTTTTCTACTGTAAGGACAAGTCTAGAGGAAGATGCAAGTAATAACAGAACTTTTTCAAACAGAACACACATAGATCTAGATCTAGGTCTAAATACATAGGAAATACAATTGTAGGTACTCGCATATACTGTAAGTTATCTAGGACATAGCTCGAGGAATCAGTAATCTGCAAGCGTTTTTGTCTTGTTTGTATTAAAGTTAGTAACTCAATTATGTGTATTTAAATGCGACACTTTATTTATTCTTTGTACATACCAGATAATTGTAGATATCAAATTTTTGTATGTAATATATTTACCTACGGCTACTAATATAAATACCTTCAACAAAATGAACTTGATAGCGAATATTAGCTATAATAGCAACAAATAGGGGGGACTATGATTTTTCTTCAGTTATTTTTCCTTAATCGTATATTTTTGTTTTGACTCAAAAAGCTTCACTAACAAGAGAATAAAACAAACTGATTAATTCAAATACAAAGCCCAACTACAACCAAATAACTCAATTATGACCAAAAGTATGTATCTGTAAAATTAGCATCAACCAGTGCCATGTATGTGTACCGATTTTAGGAATTTTTAATAGTTTTTTGTCATATTTCCTCATTAATGCTTCTGTTAATGATTTTCCGGAAGAGTTTCGTATGGTGAAATAGCTTTTTTCGATCAGTTAAAAAAAATGTATGTCTATATAGTCTAGGGCATTGATTTACAACCGAGCATCTTCAACAAAAACATGTGTAGATATAATACATACACCTCCGGCTCCTCATACTCCTTATGTGTATAATGTAAAAAAATGCAGAGTTCATGGCACTTCAAAAATAATATATTTAAATATAAACGCAGGCACACAACCCCTCCAACTCACTAAAATGCAGACATCATGTGTATAGATAAACGAATCGTACATATTGGACGACGGGATATCGAAGAACGCACAATAATTGTAATTTAAAGAAATGAATCCATAACTTAAGTAAATAATTATAGCAGCTGAGCAGTAATGCGAATTTACACAGCAAATTAACTTACCATTACGATTATTATAATGACTAGAGTCGTAGAGTGCATACGGATGTAACAACCATTAAGCAAGCGAAGAAAAACTAGAGACACTAAACCAAAACTAAGATAACTGAGCTGACTTTAGCTATGTACGATACAAAAATATTAACTGAGCAATACTGAATAGGGAAAACGACTTACCTAGAAACGATAAACCAATATATACACTTAAAAAAAAGGCCAAAATCGCCATTGGTTTTAGAAATTCGCCATTAAAATAAATATATGGCGCAAAACATAATTTTATGAAAATTTTTTCTTTAAAAAATAAAGTTTTCCGATAAAATTAATAGCTTTCTATAAACAGTCATACAATTTAGAAATTTTCCGTAAATCCAGAAATATGTATGTATATGTATCATGAAATATTTGTTGAAAATAAGAACTGATTTTTCCTGAACTCATAAAAGAATTTGTTATATTTTATATTTTGTTTCTAAAACAGAGAGCGATTTTCTATGAAACTGCAATTAGGTTTTCTTAAAACAAAAATTAACTTTTTTTTAAATAATTTTGTTTGTTAGATTTTAAAGTGGAATAAACTTTTTTTGTTGTTTTTTATACATATTCTAGTTTAAATGCGTACGAAAACATGTACATAGGTAGGTGCCATTTTTTTGTGTACAAATTTCTGCCGGTGTTGTAAATTATGGAAAAAAAATACTAAAATGACTCCCATTTCTCAAAACAGGAGGTTTGCTCCAAGTTCTCAAGGTGTAAAAATATGAACACTTTTGTAAATATATATTTTTATTTTACTAACTAATTTCCGGCAGCAAAAACTGATTGTGAAGTTAAATTTCTCATTTATTAAAATAGATAACAAATTTAGAAAACAAATCACTTTAAAAAAAAAGACATGTTTGTAATTTTGAAAACCATTTTACAATTATATTTCTAAGTTTAGGGAAAACTTTTCTGAACATTTCAAACGTTAAGAACCATTTTAATTTTATGGCGATTTTCTAAAAGCTAGAAAAAAATTCGAGTATAAAAAGGACAAGCGTATTCTTCTATAATTATCTTAATAACGGATGCAGACGAACAGACATTCAAGCAACATATAGGCGCCTACATAGATAAATATACAATAGGTTATAACTAGTCTCAGATAAAAGAAGAATTCCATTGCTAAACAAAACCAAAAACCAAAGTTCGCCGGTATTAAGATTCACTCTCCAATAAATTGTATACACACAGCGCACTAGCGAGTGCTGTTCAGGTATTTCCGATATTCACTTTTGACTACTTCCAGTAAAAATTTGTCTGCTCGGCAAATGTTTCAAGTCCTCAGTCTTAGGCTAAGATCAGATTTTTGACCTTCCTTCATATGCACTGCTTGACTTACATTAACATTGAATTATTACTAGCGATATCCTCACACAAGTAGAGTTCTTGGAAGGGCAGCTTAGGGCTCATTAGCTCAATTACTACTACTGAATCATTGCCCTGATGCCAAAACTAAAAATATAAACGAATAATAAAAACAAAACAAAAAATCAAATCAAAAACAAAAACAAAAATAGGAATGAGTACAAAATATTAGTATGGTTTACTGATGTCGTTTCGATATTAAATGTATATCCAATTCATCAAGCTTTTAGGGAAATATTTAGTTAGAAAATTATTGGCATCCTTGACCATTTCAAATGAAATTACTCGCTTTAAATGCTCACAATCTTCGCTTCGTCCTTCGACTAGGCTCCAGCTGCCCCACTCTGCTTTTACTTCTACAATAAACATTCTTGCAAAAGAATCAAAATGAACATCAAACTCGAAACATGAAAACTCGACGTTATAAACCACGTCCCGCCATCTACCATCTACCATTTAGCAAACGAAATGTCAAAAAGTGTCCATACATGTATTTTAAAGACAATGCTGCGATCGAATTTTCTTCCGGGTTTTTGCATTCCTCTCTTACATTGCCTAATACTCCAGCTGCTTGAAGGCTGGTTGCCAGTTCATTTAAAACCGCTGAACCGTGGAATCTATAGCTGGATCTGTGGTGAAATATAACCATGATAATGACAAAATGCGAACAAGTAAAAATTGAGGCTGACCCGAACGGTCCGCTCCCTGGGTTCCGTGTCTCATGTCGTAGGTGGCTTACTTTTTTTAAACAATACATTTAACCATAACCTAACGATTCGATTGTATATTTTGTTAATTGTTTACTGTCTGGTGTGAACGGTTACATGAAAAATATATGTAAGTAGATCTGACTTTTTTTTTACAAAGCAACAAAAATAATGTGGGAGGAGATAGTAGATGCAATTGAAAAGGAAAAATTAATGATAAAAACTAGTTTAAAATTAGAAAATGTAACTGTTATGGCTAAAGTTTAATGATAACACATAAACATAAATATATAAAAAAATAATTATAAATATCTTAATTTAATATACTAAGTACATAAACCAGTTAAAATAATTACTAAGGTACGCTAGAGATAATTAAACTACATTTAATAATTATGTAATTATAAATATGACTCGTAATTTATATACAAGATATACATACATAAACATATAATAACATAAATACCTGCCTTCAACAAATTTGTTAATAAAACTATTAATACTTTCTTATTTTACATAAAGTAAAGGAATACCATAATAAAAAACAAGAAGAAAATAAATGCCAGAAAAATAACACACAAATTGTGTATTTCGTGATTTATTTCCCAAAAATACAGCACGATTGGGTCCTAAAGGTTTGAAGCAATACATTTTTCACCGGACCTATTCAACTCGGGAAAATTTTATCCAAAGACGTGGCTGGATCGACTCTCCTGATAACGCTGTTCAAGAATATTTATACTTTTTAAGGTCGCAAATGTCTCTGTCTACTGAATTAAATTACAATACTCTCTGCAAGGGTATAAATGTGCTTCCAAATAGATAGTGAAAGGCAGAATGGATTTGTTCACACAAACAGCGCCCATTTAAGTGCGTTATAATAACCACCCCGTGCGGCAAGCGATTCCATCCAATTGTAAGGGCTGTCGCAAAGGGGCACTCCCAATCCAGAACCAGAACCAGAACAGAAACAGCTGGACGAGGTGGTCCGGCTGATGGCAGGGCTTTGGACGCGCTCGGAATCAACCCCCAGGAAGGCCATCAGCTGATCCGGACACATGCGCAGCAAGGGCCGATGACTAAAAAGGCGCAGCCACTTCTGCGAATACATATCGATTTTATGTCGCCTATACAGTGGTTGTAACAGTTGTGGGCTTACAGCCACTACCAGCTAAAACCAGCCGCATATTGGCGATATTGGCTGAGGTAACAACACCAGTACCACCTAGATGGGTGGGTCATCGATGGCAGGATCTCCGTGCTAACTGATACTGGGCGACAATGCGATTGCGAATGCGAGCACATCCAGAACGTAATTAAGAAGACTGACATCGGATTCTAGTCTCAGGCTACGTTGCGCCGACCAAATCGCCGCTGAAATCCTCGACAGAAATTCAATTTGAGAGTGGGAGCTTCAAGGGGTCACCATGGAGATACCCATTTCAAACATACTACTGCTGTGCCTGATCTTCCTGCTGATCGGCGGGGTAGTGATGATCCTGCTGCAGTATCTCATCTTCATCAAGTTCTCCAATTTGCCGGACGAGAGCGAGGAGCAGAAGCAGATGAACGCCAAATACACCCTGCCACTTGTAAGATTCGCACTTCCCATCCCTCTGACTGATAGTAATTAGTAATTGTAATCAATTGTGTGCGCTCTGTCGCAGAACATCAAGCAAACGGCCCGAAACATGAAGAGGCTTTCCAACTCCGGACTGGGAGCCGGCAATGGGTGCGAGAACCACCAGGAGAGTCTCCGCAGAGCCTCGGCGCTGGTCTCGCTCAACTTCGTGATGCAGTTCCTCTTCCACGAGTTCAAGAACTCCAACCGGGTGAGGAAGTGGTTCTACCGCAAGCTGTCCATCGAACTGGACGAACTGATTACTAAGACTACCACTGGCAAACTTCTCGACAAGCTCACGGTGAGTCATACGGTTTCTGGTGAAAATAAGGAATCGAACTCCTTTTCGGCCCTAAAAAACTTATATTTACACAACTGCGTCAATCTAGCTATCCTCTTGTGTCCGGCCGACATGTTGGAAACTATAAATTCTAAAGGGCACTCATTTTTTGGGATTTACATATGTGCTTTCCCCGTACCGCAAATTGGTTTAAAGGTTTTAGAGGCCAAAAACCAAAAGTTATCAGACAATAAATTGACTGAGTATATGTATTTAATGTTTACTTGTTATTAAAACAAACAAACTTTTTTTTTTTTAATTTTGGAAATTTATTTCTTAGAATTCTTTTTTACTAAGGTCCAAAAACAGTGAAAAACGTAAAGTGGTCCAAAAAGTAAAACATAAATTTTGTAGTTTTCAGTCCTCAGCGAAGGAAAATTGAAATACATAAAACTTTTATATTTGGCGGAGCTTTTCCCTAAAAACAACCTTTTGTCGTAGAGTAATACGGGTATGACATTACACTGTTCGTCTCATTCATTGACAGATTCATTGAAGCTCAGAGACAGAGACAGAGACAACTATATGGATACTGCTTGAGATTTTTTTGGTAAAAAGTTCACGGTCACACTGCCTTTTTAACGTAAAATTCAAACTATTTTGTTTTGTTTATTATATTGTGTTTTTCCCGCTTATTTTAATGTTTAAAAGGTTTCAGTTCTTGACTTCAAAAGGCAAAAATTGTTTCGTATACATTTAAGCCTCTTTTTTTCATTCCGTTTTGTCGTCAACTCCGATCAATGAGCAAAATTTTACTTTTTAGATACAATTTTGTATTGGCCCCGGTGGTATTTCTTCGAATGTTATCTTTGTACCAAAACCCGGTGCATATTTTTTCCTATCGGGTATCGGTTCTGACAATTTTCTTCATTCATTGCTCATTAGAATCGTCATAGGTTGTCTTGCTCGTACTTACGTAAAATCGTATAGTTAAAACAAAAAATGAGCAACGACTGAGGCCAACAATGTAGTGTCATAACCCCATATGTAACAGGTGGAAATAGTATATATATTCTTGATCAGAATCAGAAGCCGAGTCGATCTGGCCAGGTCCGTCTGTCTGTCCCTGTGAACATTGAGAATGTTATAAAAGCTAGAAACTTTTTCAAGTTATGCCTACAAAGCGAAATTTGATTTTAACAAGAAAGGAAGCAAATATACCCGTGCAGCTCTTGCAAAAATAAAATATTCCTGAAAACATTAAATTTATGATTTACTTGCGTTTATGTTTAAAAACATTACTATGGCAGCTATATGATATCGTTTTCCTATTTTAATAAAATTAAAAGCGTAATTCTAAACTGTCAAATTATTAATAAGTCAAACAAATTACAAAAAAAAATAACAAAATAGAAAAGTTACATTATTACATTTTTTTCATATTTTAACTGTTCTTGTGGAAGCTTTATGTTATAGTCGTCCGATTTTGATGAAACTTACACTGTAATTCCAAAATATTGAACCATTACTTTATGTCGAAGAACTAAAAAAAAAATTAAAAAACATCAAAGTTATCTATTTTTTTCATTTATTTTTCCGATTGTTCCTATGGGAGCTATATACTATACTCGTCCGATCGGCTCGTTCCGACTTATATACTACCTGCAATAGAAAAACAACTTTTGGAAGAGTTTCATGCAGACAGCTTTTAAACTAAGAGACTACTTTGCGTAGAAACTAACGGACAGACGGACAGAGGGACAGAAGGACATGGCTAGATCGAGAATATATATACTTTAAAGAGTCAGAAATGTCTCCTTCATTGCGTTGCAAACTTCTGACTGAAATTATAATACGCTCGGCAAGGGTATTAGAAAATGTGTTTTAGAAATAATTATGCGGCTTAAAGAATAATAAAAGAAAAACAATTTTTTTACGAGGCCCATGTAACTCTTTGGTATTTAGCAAGACTTCCCACCAAATGCGCTTCTCTTTGGGCCATATAGTTTGAATTTTTTGTGCGGCATAAGCTTGTATAAAAATCGAATCTTGATAACGAAAATGTAAGACCGTGCTTAAGGAGGCAATAATAATTGGTGTATAAAATTTACGCTTGAAGGTAGGCTAAGTATTTTGAAAGCGGGTATTAGAAAATGTGTTTTAGAAATAATTATGCGGCTTAAAGAATAATAAAAGAAAAACAATTTTTTTACGAGGCCCATGTAACTCTTTGGTATTTAGCAAGACTTCCCACCAAATGCGCTTCTCTTTGGGCCATATAGTTTGAATTTTTTGTGCGGCATAAGCTTGTATAAAAATCGAATCTTGATAACGAAAATGTAAGACCGTGCTTAAGGAGGAAACAATAATTGTTGTATAAAATTAACGCTTGAAGGTAGGCTAAGTATTTAGAAAGCGGGTAACTCATGGTCTTCCATCTAATCCTAGATTAAGGAGCTCGAGTTGGGTGACCAGTTTCCAGACATCAAGTCGTTATCGGTGCACAACGTGGAGTTGGACAAGGACGAGCAGCGTATTGAGAACCTCGATCTTCTGCTGGACATAAACTACGTGGGCAACTTCACGACATCCATTGATGCGGATATGGTGCTGGGCAAAAAAGGATCAATAACGCTAAAGGGTGAGTGCATTAAATAGCGAGAATAGAATTTTTTTGGCAGATATATAATTTGTTTCTTCAACTTTTTAAGCAGCGATTATATTATATAATTTAAGCGCCTATATATAATTTAAGTTTAATTCCGCCTTTTGTTGTTATTATATACAAGAAGACACATTTAATTGTCATGTTTTTTTTAATCAAGTTAAATGTTACAAAAGGAATATACTTATGAAAGAAGTTACAAAGGCAAAGACTTCTATTTTTTTTAGTTTAATTAACATTAAACTGAAGGTATTTTTGGTCAAATTTAGTTATATAATATAATCCGAAAATATTAAAACTCAAAATTAAAAAAAGGAACAAAATTTCGGAAATGTATGACAATCAATCCAAAAAATGGGTATGAACTACTTGGACTTACTACTTTTTTTTATCAGCCTACTAAGGAGTGTCAACCGCTTCATTTTTTGCAGTCAAGCAGCTGTCGGGCATGGCGCGTCTGCAGTTCACAAGGAAACCGTACACGCACTGGTCGCTGAGCTTCCTGGGCGATCCGGAGCTGATTCTGGACATAGAGTCCAAGTACCAGGGCCGCCAGATGCAGTCGAACATCACGAACCTGATATCGAACCAGATCCGAAAGGCGGTGCGCCGGAAACACACGCTGCCCAACTACAAGCTGCGCTACAAGCCCTTCTTCCACTGGACCGCCGAGGAGGACGCCGGCGACTGCGACATCCAGCCGAACGGACTGCTCACGGTCCGGCTGGCCGAGCTGTCCCGCCTGATGGTGGCCTACCCGGGCGCCAGCGAGACGTACTGCACCATCACCCTGGCCCCCGTGCCCTTCATCGAGGCCAGCCAGCGGGACAGCCGGAACGTGCTCATCTCGCTGGACGTGTTCATCCACAAGGCAAAGAACCAGCAGATCGGCATCGTCTTCAAGCAGAGCGGCAGCCAGGTGGTCCGCATCGAGTCCGTGCTGCCCAACACGCCGGCCTGCAAGTCCAACCTGGTCGCCGGCGATGTCCTGGTGGCCATCGAGGGCAGGCCGGTGGCCACCATTCAGCAGATTGCCAAGGTGGTCAAGACGCTGCAGGCCACCGTCTTCAGTCTGCGCATCGAGCGCGTCATTCCCGGCATCATTCGCAACGATGCCATCCTGGAGGACATCGACAAGTACGACGATCTAGAGGACCTGCCCAGCCCCTGTCCCTCGAGGCCAGAGGTCGACGACCTTGTGCCGGCTGAGCCAGTGCCCAAGCACCTGGTCGTCAAGCCGGGCTTAAGTGGAACGCCCACCAACTCCCCCAAGAAGTCCAACCTGATTGCCAAGGCCATCAAGAAGACTATGAGCAGGGAGAGCGGGGACAAGAACAGGGATCGGGATCGGGATCGGGATCGGGATAAGGACATGGACAAGGACAAAGACAAGGATAAGGATAAAGAAAAGGACAAGGACAAAGATAGGGATAAAGACAAAGACAAAGACAAAGACAAGGAGAAGGACAGGAGCAAGACTGATGAGGCGGAGGAGCCCGTCAACTACTTCTACCAGCACTCCACCATCGACTGCGCCTTCAGCCCGCTCATCCACATGGACGATGTGTGCAGCTTCCAGCTGGACACCTCCAGCCGCTACCTCAACGTGTGCGTCTTCAGCAAGTGCGCCGGTGAGAGCGTCCTCCTGGGGTACAACAACGTCCAGATTGGCCAGATACTCGTCGAGTGCTCCGAGACGAGTCTGAACCAGTGCCTCAAGCAAATCAGTCTCAACCCGGCCTCGCTTCAGGCAGTGTAAGTTCTTCCCCGGTGGATGTTCCCTGTTTTAGTCTGGTCTTCCCCTTCTCACTGATCCACTTTTTCCCACAGGAAGACACACGCCCTGTCTAATCAGTCTGGGTTCAATCCAAACCTCTGCTTTGGCGACATTTTGTTCGGCTTCTCCTGGACGGGCAATCCCAATTTGACAGTGGGCGATGCTTCCGCCAAGAGCGGCTCCAAGAATCAGTCACAAGCTAGGTAAGCTCAATTTGCAGCGATAAAAAACGCTGAATTCACTGGCTTACAAACTTAAATCGATGAAATTGAAACAGCGGCACTCAACGTTTTTTGTAAGGTACCATTAGTTTTAAAGGGTAAATAACGTTTGTGACCTGTGTTCATGCCAATTTTATTTTTTATCTGCTTAACCGATTTCGGTCATCGAAAGCTTTTTATACCCTTGCAGAGGGTATTATAATTTCAGTCAGAAGTTTGCAACGCAGTGAAGGAGACGTTTCCGACCCTATAAAGTATATATATTCTTGATCAGCATCACTAGTAGAGTCGATCTAGCCATGTCCATCTGTCCGTCCGTCTGTCCGTCTGTCCGTCCGTCTGTCCGTCTGTCCGTCCGTCTGTCCGTCTGTCCGTCCGTTTATATGCAAACTAGTCTCTCAGTTTTAAAGCTATCTGCATGAAACTTTCCCAAAAGTTGTCTTTCTATTGCAGGTAGTATATAAGTCGGAACGAGCCGGATCGGACGACTATAGCATATAGCTCCCATAGGAACAATCGGAAAAATAAATGAAAAAAAATTTTAACTTTTCTGTTTTTTAATTTTTTGTTTAGTTCTTCGACATATAGCAATGTTTAATTATTTCAGAATTATGTTTTAAATTTTATCAAAATCGGACGTCTATAGCATATAGCTCCCATAGAAATAATAAAAATATATAAAATAACTATCTAATAATTGAGCTGCAAATCATCATAGTTTCAATGTTTTTCAGCATATACTCAAGTAAATCATAATTTAAATGTTTTCAAAAGTATTTAATTCATGCAATAGCTGCAAGGGTATATGAACTTCGGCTTACCGAAGTTTGCTTTCTTTCTTGTTTCACTAGAAATAGATAATTCTTCAAATTTCCTATACATGTTATAAGGGAGGGTTTCCTTATATTATACGTAGATGCTAGGCTCGACAAAGTTTGAATAAATTGCTAACACTGAAGTTCCAACAAAATAAATTAATACTTAAAAAATAAACGCCTGAAATCCAAAAATTTTATCACTTTATTTTGAAGATGGCACATTTAGAATCTAAAAAGTTATTAACCTCAGCAATCAGCCGGTAAATCTATTTTATACGGATTTTCCAACCTTATAAAACGCTGATTTTTGGGGTGTTATCAGCTTCTTAGATTCGTGAAAGTTCCATCTTCAAGATAAAGTAATACAATTATTTTCGATTTTCAGGCGTGTCTTTTTAAAGAATTAATTTTTGTTGTCGTATGGATTAAGATGTTAAGATGTATGGAGAGGTTGAAGAATGATATATTTCTAGTGAAATAAGCTACCGATGACGGAAAGCGGCTAATCAGAACTGAAGATAACAAATAAAATTGGCATGAAAACAGGTACAAAACGTTTTTTACACTTTTTAAAAAAATGGTACCATACTAAAAATGTTGAGTCCATTTGCACCGGTTCTTTTCTTTTGTCAGTGATAAGTGGTTACTGTTTTAATAGCGGTAGTTAACAAAATTAAAAGAAAAATCTTTTGTTTTTCATTGTATATTACACATAAAATTTGTTTTGGGCTCCCTTTTTCTAGAAGTGCAAACAATTCTTTTTGACAGCTTTTATGCCTGTTTAATTTTTTCAGCGACTTCTAGTAAACTTTTCTATACACTCTGTGTGGATTTGTTTGTTAGTTCTAGTAAAAAAAAAGCTTTCTTCCTGTTGCAGGTAGTATATAAGTTGGGTCGAGCCAGATCGGACGACTATAGCATATAGCTTCTATAGGAACAATGGGGAAAAAATGAAACAAAAATGTTAAACTTTGCTGTTTTCTAATTTTTTAATTCTTCGGCAAATAGAACTGGTTTAATATTTCAGAATTTTGGTTTTAATTTAATTAAAATCGGCCCACTTTAACGTATAGCTTCCATGGGAACAAACGAAATATTAAGTTAAATAAAAATTAAGGACTTGGATTTTTTAATTTTTTTCCAAAAATTCTTTTGTATATAGTAATGGTTTAATAACTAAAATGTATGCTTTTAATTTTTTTCGAATCAGAAAATGATATCATTCAGCTACCATAGCACAGTGGGCCAGCGGGTTTGAGTTTTGGGCAAAAGTCCGTTTTTTTTTTTTTGAGAAAATTAATAAAATAAGTAGGGCCCTTTTTATTATACATTAAGCTAATTTATGCCAACAATTCAAAGAATTCCACTGAATATATATTTTTTTGGCATATTTTTAAAGAAATAATTTCATGCAAAATTGAAAAAAAAATAAAAAAAAGAGATGAATACTTAGTTGATCGAATTTCTTGCGAAGTCATTGAAATTGAATAAAAGTCAGGTAAAAAATGTAATATAGCTGCATTTGTACATATTTATAAGTAAATTACTTAATTATTTATACCATTAGGAACACAAAAATTATAAACACAAAAGTAAAAGAAACGCGTGTAAATGCAAAAGCGGAAGAGTGCGATACAAAATCTTTTCTGTCAACTGAGCGTGGCTTGTGAAACACTAACAACTATGTACGAACACAGTTAGATAAGGCGCAAAAAGTAGAGCGGGGGGAAGAGAGAGTAAAATATTACAGAGATTTACTCATGCAATGTCACAAAAACAAAACTCGAGAGAACGAGATTACAACAACAATGCACAGGGATTAGACAATTTAAAATAATATTATTAAAACTCTAATAGTGAGTACAGATTTATAGGAAAAGTCTAGTTTCAAACAAACACAAGGTAGTTAGGCTAAGCTTGGAAAAAAGAAAATCACCAGTACCTTCAGGAATTATCAAATCTTGATAAATTAACAGAGAACAATATAAACACAAACAAAGCTACGCCAAATCGATTATTTTAAATGATGAAGTGATTATTTTTAAAGGAATACGTTTTTTGATCAGAATCCAAATTTTCGAGAATCGCGATTTTAAGTATGAACTTAAATTGAAGGAGACAGTTTTGAATGTTTTATGCAGCCCACTGAAGCCCAAGAGTATGCTGCATCTTAACATACTCATATAATAAGCATAACACATAATATTGCATACACTGAGGAGCCGATTGATGTCATCATAAAGCATTTAAAATATTTGAATAATAATTAATTGCTTTTTAAACTTTTGATGATGCGGATGCAGAGAAAGAAACAACAAAAACACAAATTTTTGTTAAGACGATTATTTTACTAATGTTGTCCCTGCCAATATTAGTAAAAACCAAAAGAAAGCATTTTTATAATTTGATTAATTATACCCTTGCAGAGGGTATTATAATTTCACTCAGAAGTTTGCAACGCAGTGAAGGATACATCTCCGACCCTATAAAGTATATATATTCTTGATCAGCATCACTAGGCGAGTCGATCTAGCCATGTCCGTCTGTCCGTCCGTCTGTCCGTCTGTCCGTCCGTTTATATGCAAATTAGTCTCTCAGTTTTAAAGCTATCTGCATGAAACTTTCCCAAAAGTTGTCTTTCTATTGCAGGTAGTATATAAGTCGGAACGAGCCGGATCGGACGACTAGCTCCCATAGGAACAATCGGAAAAATAAATGAAAAAAAATTATAACTTTGCTGTTTTTTAATTTTTTGTTTAGTTCTTCGACATATAGCAATGGTTAAATATTTCAGAATTATGGTTAAAATTTCATCAAAATCGGACGACTATAGCACATAGCTCCCTTAGAAATAATAAAAATATATAAAATAACTATCAAATAATTGAGCTGCAAATCATCATAGCTTCAATGTTTTTAAACATATACGAAAGTAAATCATAATTTTAATGTTTTCAAAAATGTTTAATTCTTGCAATAGCTGCAAGGGTATATGAACTTCGGCTTGCCGAAGTTTGCTTTCTTTCTTGTTTTTTAATGTTTTCAATTTTTTTCATTTGTTGAATCTTATTCTTAAATGTGTGTTAAAATGAATTGAATCCATTTCAAAATGTTTTTTCTCGAAATAAAATATGCAAAAATTAGAAATATTTTCCGACTTTGGGATTGGATGAAATATATCTTTTTTAAATCCTTAAAATCCTTGGTTGAAAAGATCAATCTTTTAAGAAGATAATCTTTATTTCAGCATCCTCGCTGTACAGGAAAGAAAGGTCAGATTTTAAATCCATGAAGGAATCAAGCCATTTTTTTAAGCAACTATTACAAAAAATAAATAAGATTTTCATGCGTACAAGTATAAAAATAATGAGCTTCGTCCATTTCCGTTGAATTTTTCGATCGTTTCTATGGCAGCTTTATCAAGTCGGTGTCCGAACTTAAAAAAATTAAAATCTTTATTCTGAAATAGTAAAATATTATTATAACTTGAAGTTTATTCGTAAAAGCTAAAAAAAAAAGGTAAGCTCTGACTTATGTACTACCTGCAATAAAAAAAAAACAAACAAGAAAGAAAGCAAACTTCGGCAAGCCGAAGTTCATATACCCTTGCAGCTATCGCAAGAATTAAATATTTTTGAAAACATTAAAATTATGATTTACTTGCGTATATGTTTAAAAACATTGAAGCTATGACGATTTGCAGCTTAATTATTTGATTGTTCTTTTATATATTTTTATTATTTGTATGGGAGCTATATGATATAGTCGTCCGATTTTGATGAAATTTAAACCATAAATCTGAAATATTTAACCATTGCTATATGTCGAAGAACTAAACAAAAAATTAAAAAAACAGCAAAGTTATAATTTTTTTTTCAATTATTTTTCCGATTGTTCCTATGGGAGCTATATGCTATAGTCGTCGTTCCGACTTATATACTACCTGCAATAGAAAGACAACTTTTGGGAAAGTTTCATGCAGATAGCTTTAAAACTGAGAGACTAGTTTGCATATAAACGGACGGACAGACGGACAGACGGACAGACGGACGGACAGACGGACGGACAGACGGACGGACAGACGGACGGACAGACGGACAGACGGACAGACGGACGGACAGACGGACATGGCTAGGTCGACTCTACTAGTGATGCTGATCAAGAATATATATACTTTATAGGGTCGGAAACGTCTCCTTCACTGCGTTGCAAACTTCTGACTGAAATTATAATACCCTCTTCAAGGGTATAAAGACGTTTGTTAATGTCTCATCAACATAGCTTTTAAACAGATATGCTTTGTAAACTTTAGACTTAAATTATACAAACAAAGTTTTTTGCTTTCTTTCAACGATTGCTTTCTTTCAATGAATCAATTCTTGGCGTTAGAGGTCCCCTAGATTATAGATTATTCGGCTTTGCAGTTGAATTGGCTGGTTGCCCAGGAACTTACATATGGTTTCTAACGTTTCGGGTTGTCGCAATGCATCCATTGTTTATTACCAGTAACATTTCCATGCAAAAAGGAGGGGCGCTGAAGCAACATTACTTGTCTCTTGACTTCAGTACATATGGCACTCAGTTTTTTAGCTTTTGCATGAATCCTTCTGCCATGAATTTGACAACAATTCTTTTTCAGTTACTTTTTCATTTCTTCAACTCAAACTTTCCATTTCTTCTGTGTCGAAAACTTTACTTATTAATAGTAAAACCAGCACTCACAAGTACTCACAGGCTTTCTGCACGAAGGACTCTCAAATCATTCCGGGAAATTGAGTTTTGTTGTTACATTATTCCACATTACATTTGTTATTGTTTACTTATCGAGTGCACCAATGAGTTCACACGCCGCCCAAAGACTATTTCTATTTTCCAAAGGAGGTTTCTTGCCCTGCAGATATTTTTGTGATATTTTGCTACTACATTATAATAATTTTATTTTTTCTTAAAATGTAGAAACATATCGGCTGGCGACCGAGCGGCACAGGAGGATCAGTCGCACGAGCCGGTGTTCCTCAAGTTGAGCTCCACCTTGGCGGACAGCTCCCCATCCGGCGACTCCTCGAGTGCGACGACTGGGGCCTCGAAGGCGCACAACTTCGTGCGGACCCACTTCCATCGAGCCACGCAGTGCGACTTCTGCGGCAAGAAGATCTGGCTGAAGGACGCCATGCAGTGCCAGGAGTGCTCCATGTGCTGCCACAAGAAGTGCATAGTCAAGTGCCAGATGGCCACCGTCTGCGGTCCGGTGGACTGCTCCGGCTCCATGCCGGCGTCGTCCACTCCGGCGATGGCCAACCGGCCGGAGTTCACCATTACGCAGGCCGACAGCCCCGAGCTCCTCGACGCCAACTTGAGTCCGGCTCCTTTGGACGAGGCGGCCACTTCTGGCGGGGATCAGGCTCAGGCTCAGGCTCAGATCCAGACCCCAACGGCGGCTGGCTTAGATGTGCACAGGTCCAGTCTCACCGGGATGCTGGCCCAGGGCATTAAGCGGCAGGCGAGCAACCTGGACATACCCGGCATCGTGTCCTCGCTGACTGGCAGTGGTCAGCAGATGAACTCCAAGAGCCTGCCTCCGAGCCCCCAGCACACTCCCTCGCGGTAAGATTGATTCCCAAGCCGTCTAATTAGGAAAACTACACTCGACGAACCGAACGTGGTAGTCCATCCTTTTATAAGATGGCGAAAACTATTTGTATAACTCACTAAAATAAGAGAGGAAGGAAACTTTGGCAAACCGTAGTTAATATATGTACCTTAAAACATCTAAATTTCGAATCATATGCGTATAAGTCTGAAAACTTTGAAGCTGTGCTGATTTTCTGCTTAACTATTGGATCGTTCCTATAGCAACTATATTTAACCATTACTTTATCCAAAAGAAAAAAAAATAGTAAAAAACATTGAATTAAACATTTTTTTGTTTATATATTTTTTTTTAATATATCAGTTGTTCTCATGAGAGCTATTTAGTATAATCGCCCGATTTTAATCATATTAAAACAGGAATTCGGAAATAACAAACCACTACTATTTCTGGAAGAACTAACAAATAGACACATCTGTGAGAAAAATAAGTTAGTTCAGCTTCTGACAATATAATAATACTCCCTGCTGGAGTACACAGCAACAAGTTTTTTGGTTAAATCAACCAATTGCACCACAAATTTTAGTTATCACCAAGCCGTTTCAAAGTGTGTGTGCACTTGGCTTTTAGCTTGTGTGAATGTACATATATGAGGACTAACAGAAATCATCATGTGAAGTCTTAATATTTCAGTATCTGACTAGCGGATACAGTTGGAAAATGGAAATTATGAAATGAAAGAAAAACTTAAAAGTAAGGTAAGGTAAGGTACTAATAAATATTTAGCACAAATTGTTAAGCATAGTTTTACTGTAAATCACATTTAGAAGTTCGTTGACTCAGCCAACAACCGTTTTAGACAAAGCTAGATCTAATCGGCTGATGATCAAGAATATATCCACTTACCTACCTGTACATAAGCCCTTACTTTGCGAATGCGAACAACGGCTGTAGTTATCATTTGATTAAAAAAGCTCACTCCCTTTTGATCACTCGCAGAAAGTCGTCAGTCGTGGAGGAGGCGACTCCTGTTCTGCCCCAGAATCCCTTTGAGTGCGTTGCCCAGCATTTGGAGGCTCTACCATTAGACTGCACAGTTCTCAGCTGCGAACAGGTAATCGTCATAACCGAGCCCATCATTCGCCATACCCGCAACGAGGATCTGATGAACCTGGCCAAGAGCACCAGCAAAAATCTATACGTTGGCCTACCGCCCGAAGAGCGAGTGGCCAAAATAAACGAGCTGGTAAGTCCGTCTGCACCTCTTCTTGTTTGTCCGTCCATCTACCATCTATCCACCATTTATCCACCATCTCCATCCACAATGCTCCGCAGCTGACAAAACTGAAGGTGGCCCTGGACGCCGAAACTGAGGGCTACACCATGATGAATGATGCCGAGAAGGCCACGGAGTCATCGGCATGGAAGTCGGCGTCCAGCATGGAGAACCGGTCAGACGAGCGAGTCCAGGCCCTCAGCATCATCATGCTCTACTTGTGCACTGGACTGCAGCATGCCCAGGGCGTAGTTCTGCAGTAGATCTGCAGAAGGATATTGATCGAAGGGCCGATTTGGTCATGTCATGTTAATGTGCTAGTTTGTAGTCTGTGGTGTCAATTTTTCGAATGAATGGATTTCACACGAGTCGGACGGAAGAGTCTGAGAATTAAATGTAAACTAACTAGTAAATGCTCGGATGGCATTAGGAAATCGGCCCTGTTAGTTGCCTAAATACTTGTGTATTTGGTGAACTCCACGTAGTCTTAAGTAGCAGACTGGAAATGTGTTAGTGAACTTATGGGCATTTTTAATTCGTGTTGTGGCATACTTACCTAGAAGTATTTCAATTTTAGCCATCTATTTCAATCAAAATACGCTTATTTGTCAGTTTTGAAAGAGATTTGTAAATATATAATATGGGGTTAACCCAAACTCAACACAAACATCAATGGTATCTATAGAGTTCAAACTTGTTTTTGGCGAATAAAAATTTTTAAGCAAATGTTCTCAAAGTTCTTTCATATTTTTGGTGATATTTTTTTTAGTTCTATAGCTACAGTTATGTGTATTATAATTAAAAAACGAGTGTGCAATTTTAATTTTATATTTTTGGCATTAATTGTATAACTACAGTCGATTACGAAGTTGTCATATCTAAAAATATTTTTAAATTAAATAACTAGTTAAATATTAAACTTAATATAAGCAAATGGTTTTATCTTGCCATTTATTCAAGAAAGTTTCGCCTTTTATATTTTAGGTAGCCTCAAGATTTGTTTGAAAGCACAAATATTGTGTATTTTAAAATTTGTACGTTAGTAGAGCAAACAACTACAGCTACAACTACAACTACAGTGCTTTAAAGGAAAGAAGTGTTTTGGGAAAAAAGGACGAACGTTGAATTGGCTCCTCCGTCGACACACATTTTTTTTCGATTTTTTTCAAGCGTAAATAATACAAGTAACTTTACATTTTGGAGACCCCCTGAGAAATTGCTCTAAAGACCGTAAAATCAATACACATTGAATAGGGGAAGGATTATAGCTTTAACATTTTCATACATAAAAGATAAACGTTGAAAGGCATTAGACGCTATCTAAACTTTGGCTTATTCATTGCGTTTGCAGTCAGATGGCCAGATAATGACTTCGTGATTTTTTGTCGATATCTACTCGATATTTGGCTTATCGCTCCACTATCGTGCGCAAACGATAAAAAACTTAAAAAATAGAAAATAAAGATAAATACTTCGTGATAAATTTTTTGTTTTTCTGATTATCCGGTCACGAGTTATGATGTTCACCGCAAACTAACTTTTTTTCAAGACGCCTCCGAAGATCCACGGCCACATGCTCATTTTTATTATTTTTCTTTGAACATTTGTTCTTACATTCTTTGAATGTTGCATAATAACATGTAATCAAATTTAAAACAATAATATTATAGATGTCGCCGCAAAAAAAAAACTCAAAAATATGCGTATTTTTCGCCTTTAAAACCCTACCCCCTTAATCAATGGCAACAGTACGTATGAGTAATAAACGTTAAATCCAATACGCAGTCCATACCCTTTCCCAAATAAATCCTTCAGCTGTGTCTTATAGCAACTTCACACAGCCGCTTTAAAGAGTTTTTGCAAAAAAAGATGAAGAGACACATTCAAACAGGAACTCGATGGTGTAAAAACAGCTGATCGGCTGTGGTTGCTAACAAAAAATGTAACAAAATTCAAATTAATCTTTAAAAAATTGGAACAAAAAAAAATATTTTGAAACGAATTAACTACATGGGACAAATTGAAAAAGTCCTAGTGGCTTCTTTTGACTCTTACAGTTTTAAATTGTCTATAGACAATCGGCAATATAATCGGCATAAGCTCGTTGGTATAGAATGGTTTTCTATCGGGCTTAAAGGACTTTGTGAGCTTCGCACTTGTCTTGTTAGAAAGTTCGTACTTTTTTGAAATAATCCTCTCCAAATTTTACCAAAACCATTACTAATAGCTCTATGTAGGTTTCTCTTTTCGAAATATCCAAACGTAGCCCATAATACTGTGGACTGTTGTTGCATTGCGATAATGATATCGATACCCATCTGGGCCATCTAAATTAAACTTTTTTGTTGCTAAATTTTATGTTTTTCCACTCCGATTTCCAACACTCATAGAAATTTCTCCCTAAAACCCAGAAAAATCGCCATTGAATTTTCACCCAAGTATAGTTCACATCCATTTGAAGAAAATTTCTTTCTTGAATGAATGGTGATTCCTTTCTGCAAACCAGAAATGCAGCTCTAAAGATAAGAAATAATATTTCATAAAACTATAAATAATATTTCTTAAATCAAGAAATAATATATCTTAAAATTAGACCAAATATTTCTTGAAACAAGAAAAAACATTCCTAAAACAGAAGATATATTTCTTAGAAACAAGATCATTTCTCAGCGCTCTGCCAAGGGACGAGCAGTATTTGTATGAAATTGCAGTCGACGGCATACACACTTTGACAAGTTTTGGCGAAAGAACGAATGACATACACTCACTCCAATATCTCTGCGTACACCCCCAAAAAATTTAAAAACTTTGAAAATTAATGGTTCGGACATTTATGCATGTATTTTATTCTTTTTTTTAACGTAACTATAGGTTATTGTCTTCAATGTCGTATTTTTTTAATTTTAATTTAAATTTTAAACTTAACACTACGAAAAAGTGAACTTCGAATTCATTTTAATCGCAGTTCAAAGCCAAACAGTTAAGCTCGACATTCCCGGGATGAGCGTGCGCAAAATATCATCTGGAATTATGCGTGGGATGTGTTTCTTCGCAAGATGGACTGGCTTAACATTCTTCCGAATCACGAACTCGTTGGATAATGCCATAGTCGTGGAGGAAAGCTTCTGGAATCGTTCGTGGCCCTTGGTGCCAGAGTGTATATGTCCGCTTTGTGGATGGCGAATAATGTAAAAATGGTAACAATTCTCTACAATATGGACATCAGTTTATCGATATTAACATACTTATTGATGAGCTACGTGCAAATTTTTCACGGCCCCAACGTAATAAGGTTGTTGAACCAACATCTTCGCCTCTTCCGTCAAGTGAGGGCCTTGTCCTCAAGAAAGAAAATTGGATTTGGAGGCTCACGAGAACTTTTGCTGATTCTTTTATTTCTCGTAGTAAATACGTTTGTATTTTTAAAATGGAGCTTCAATTTAAAAAATACCGTGCTCTGGGTCATCTTTGCTTATGGAGGTGTTTCGAGTATTACTATATTGAGTTTCAGTATATTTTGGTATCTGAGCTTGGGTGTTCTTTATTCCGAAGCGAAAACATTTCTGCTCTTTCAACTGCGATACCAAACGGTGGTCCTAAAACCAAAACTTAAAACAAGTGGACGATTAAATAACACTTTAAATATTTTTAGGGAGATTTCTAGTGGTTTCCCTTTAATGCAGGACATAATAAATATTCCCCTGTTCTTAAGTCTGGTCCACAATCGTTTTGTTATAGTCGGAAGTTCTCTCATCGTGGTGGGCTATTTATAGTACTGGGAGTTTCATCGAAATTGTGCTTCAAAAACTCTTTCTACGTTTGTGTATTAAAAAATCAATTAATCAGCTTAGATGCATTCGGGAGCTTACTCTGGAGCACTTCTTCGACGGCAACCAGAAAAATGGAACGAAACGGTAAGATTGTTGTATTGTATGCAACTAGTAGCATTTTTTTATTTTATTATTATTTTTCGTTACACACCTTAATCTAAACAAGCTTATAGTTCGTCCTTTGGGTCTCTTTGAAGTTTCCAACAAATTGTTTCTTTTATTTGTGTGTGGAATTGCTAACTATCTGGTTGTTAAAAAAAATACTATACATGCTGTTGCTTTATTGATATATTTGCTATATGATCCTAAAGTTTTAATGTGAATAAGAACTTGGAATTTCGATTTATAAAATAAAGTTAAATTGTTCTTACATAGTTTAAATTTGGTAAAGTTTAAGCATAAAGACTTCAAAACGACTCAAGCAATTTGTATTATCCATTCTTGTTTTCTATTTTCAGCGATATTTTAGCCAGGAAGTGTTAGCTGCTCTGAACCGGGAAAAGTTGCCGTTTTTGTTCCTTAATAATTTTCGAGTGTAAAAATGTGTTATATATCGATGGCTTATTTCTCTAGAAATAGATCATTCTTCAACATTCCTATACAAGTATAATAGATAGGTTTCCAAATACAGTTCCTAGAGCTCGACAAAGTTTAAATAACTTGCAAAAAAGTTCCGACAACATAAATTAGTTCTTTAAAAATACACGCCTGGAAACCGAAAATTGTATTGTATCACTTTATCCTGAAGATGGCACATTCACGAATCTAACAAGCTCTTAACTTCAACAATCCGGCGGTGAACCGACTTAATACGGACTTAAGTGTCTACGAAAAAATGGTTTCTTTCGACTGTTGTCTACGTTAACATCTGCAAACAGCACTTAACATATGCGTTACACCCGCTAACAGTTCAAAAATCACAGTTATTGCAAGATTGAAAAATCCGTATAAATTAGATTAACCGGCGGAATGTTGCCGTTAACAACTTGTTAGAAGCGTGAATGCCCCACATTTTCACCGACAGCTGGAAATGTAGCACTTCTTTTGTCTCTTTCGTTAACTAAAGAAGGGAGACCAGATCAAGGTTTTTCCCACGATTTTCTGGGTCCTTAAGGGGTTACATGGGTTTTCTCGTACAAAAAACGGACTATTTTCAATAATATATATTATATTCAAACTAGTTTTTGCATCTAACATTGAATGCGACGATCCTACGCGTTTGAATTAAAGAGAAAACAAGTGCTATAGTTTTTCTTCTTACAAAAGGCGATTAGCTCTATAATTGCTGCTAAAACTGTTTGGGCAAAAAAATTAATTTTTAAATTTTATGTATTGATCGTTCTTAGCAATGTTTATACCCTTGCAGAGGGTATTATATCATATATATTATTATTTCAGTCAGAAGTTTGCAACGCAGTGAAGGAGACATCTTCGACCCTATAAAGTATATATATTCTTGATCAGCATCACTAGGAGAGTCGATCTAGCCATGTCCGTCTGTCCGTCCGTTTCTACGCAAACTAGTCTCTCAGTTTTAAAGCTATCTGCATGAAACTTTCCCAAAAGTTGTCTTTCTATTGCAGGTAGTATATAAGTTTCATGCAGATAGCTTTAAAACTGAGAAACTAGTTTGCGTAGAAACGGACGGACAGACGGACGGACAGACGGACATGGCTAGATCGACTCGCCTAGTGATGCTGATCAAGAATATATATACTTTATAGGGTCGGAGAGCAAGGGTATAAAAATTATAACTTTGCAGTTTTTAAATTTTTTTTGTAGTTCTTCGATATATAGTTATGGTTAAATATTTCAGAATTACGGTTTACATTTCATCAAAATCGGACGACTATAACATAAAGCCCCAATAAAAATATAAAAAAAAGAATTAAAAAA